AATCATCTTGAACGGTGGCAAAGGCTTTATAAGAGCCGATCCATCCAGGACATTAAATCGACTGATTAGACAGCCCACAGAGCGTCGTTTAAGACGTAACCCCTGTTGTTTCGTTAACCTGACCGTTAACGAGAACCTGACGAGAACTAGACCGGGATCGGTCAGCTGTAATCGTCACAGAAGAGCAGCGAGCTGCGGCGGGCTCCAAAGTTGCTCGGGACAGAGCCGGGGGCGGAGGTGGTGCAGTGCCGCCCTGTGCATGTGCGAGATGGCCATCAATACGTACAAAGCCGGAGGGAACGAGATATTGGGGATTGTGTGCGACTAGGCCAACTTTTTGCTGAAGCTGACAAGCCGTTCCCACTAAGCTAAGGGTGTACGACCACGCCACCCACTTTCCACAATAACCAATAGAGCGTACCCACTCTGGGCTATTGAGATCCTATAAAAGGATTAGCAATCACTGGGTACACACCCTGTGCGGAGCCTGGGACCGTCAGCTAGACCACCAAAAACAGCGTGTACCCACTAGCACGCATTAGAATCTCATTAAAAAATTGGCCGGCAGTACGGTACGCAGTGCTTCATCATCTTGGCGAGCTTTCTGAGTCGTGTACCTAAACGAGAACCTGCGCCACCTGACACTTACAGCGAGAAATGCTTCGAGCAGAGGATCCTAGTCCCGCGCGACAATTGTGCTAGCGTTGGCGGGCCCTGCACCGGCTGAGGAGGGGCGTGTGGGAGAGGGGGAGCTTGCCAAGGGCGAGGCCCGGGGAATACCCCATAGTAAAGTTTCTTGCTGGTAGGTTTGCAAATCATAGTGAACAGGACGTGGGTTCCACAAGCAGCCTTTGAAACACAAAGCCTAATGAACTCTTTGTTAGCAGCCCAAGCTGTGTGACTGGATCTCGGCGCCGCGCTCAGCAGATCAAACTTTAGGCTGCAGCATTTCAACTCGCTACTTCTTCCAAGAGGACGTTCAGCCTTCTGCTTCTCCCTCAAGTCAGCCTTGCTGGGCGCAGTGAAGGGCTGACCTTGGGGAGTCCTGCAGAAAAACTGTGGCTCCACTTTCGGGCCCCTTACCCTCTTGCCCTGCCGGCGGCGAGGGGCAGGTATGCCATCGCTCCGCGCATCGACAGCAGCGGTCAGAATCTCTTGCCTTTCTGCACTGATTGAGATGCGCTCCCTGTACTCTGCAGCGCGTGCAAAGCGCACAGCCTGGCAGACCCTGTGATCAAACTTGGACCTGCCACAAGGCCGGCTTCTCGCCTTTCTCTATGAAATGTCAACTCCGCCAGTACTCACAGCAGCAATAGACAAAAGGCCAGGACTGAAATACTCACCGCAGTTGAAGCTCGATTCGAATAGGAGCAGTACGCTCACGGCTTCAAGACAATTCTGAAGCAATGAAAAGCAAATTGTCTGCCACAGAAGCTTGCAGCCCTAAATACATGCTCAAAGAAGCATATATCCTGCAGACTTTAGTGCACACTCCTCCTGCTCTCTTCTGCCACGCTTGCTGCTGTCAGGAATCCCTCAGATTGAAGGAAGAGTTCGACAGAACACACATGCAAGTGAAAGCTGTGGCTAATACCTGAGGACTCAGGGACCCCTTGCGTCATGCTGAAGTAGCTGCCATAAGCAAAAGCATTGCAGCCTGCAGTACTTCTGACAAATGGTCAAAGCAAGCTCCTTTAATAGCTCAGGGACGGGGGCGACCTTGCAGCTCCGCCCAAAAGAGTTTGTTGTGTGCGAAGTCGCTGCCTATGTTGTACTTTTGGCAGCTGGCTGGAGACTAGAAGTGGCAGCTTTCGTGTTTTGGAGACCAGGGTCCGAGTATGGTTTAAGACGGTCCAATCCGGTTCGTTACCGAAACCACGTGACCGTTCGTGAAGTCCGACTTGGACTGGCAATGGCGTGCATGCGGCCATAATCCTCGGACCTTGCCCAGGTGCCTGGTAGACGACACCACTGGTAGGCTGCATGACCGGGTGGCTTGCTTTGCGAGGGCACTCTATATACACCACGGCGCGCTAAACAGCGAAGTCCGCCTCGGGGTAGCTCGGTTAGTTCGAGCGTCGTGCTTCCCGCAGCACACTAAAAAGGGTATGTAAGTGCGTGGGTTCGATACTCGAATCCGCCACCATCCGTTGCGGAGGGGCGACCCTTCCGTTTGTCGGTGTGCTTGAAAGCTTGTCCGAACCGGCATAGATGGCCTCCGAGTTCTCCATCAATTGCAACACGTATTTGTGCAAAAGAGCGCACGACAATGTCAAGACACGAAGTGCACCAACTCCTCTACATGAGAAGGCTCGGAGGCCATACGTACCTTTCTACTCCTAGGTACAAAATGGCAAGCAATTTGCACCGATCAAATCTGAGCTTGAACGGCTGTGAGGTCCATCTCGATACCTCCATTGCCCTAAATATGCAGGGGGCATGGTTCTCTGCATGGTCAGCAGACATCGTGCTGCGAGCACTGTAAATTGCAGAGCGCATGGCAGGGATTCAATGATTGACAGCTTGCGATCCGACTTGCCCGCGATTCTCCAAAGTGGCGACCGACACTCATCACTTAGGGTTGCTTGAAAACGAACTTTTCCTGTCACACTACCGAAGGTTGCTCCACCTGGCACATAAATGGCGCAAGAAGCCCAAAAGCCCGCAAAATCTGACTCGTATCGGCTCTGCCTCTTCATTGCCAAATCTTGATGAACACTTGAGGTAAAGGGGCGCAAACGTTCGAAGTCCTGCCACACATGAGTCGTCATCTTCGACCCATGAGAAAAATTGGGTGCTCTTGGTTGTTACCATAATCTACAATAGCCTTTTCGTACTTGGAATCGAAAAAAACGTGGCATACCCCTGGACCCCTTGCCTTTCTTGGCTTCCCGGTCTTGTGGTTACGCAGGTCCACCACAACCCACGCGTCAATCTGATTGCCCAGGACCATAGGATGATAACGCCCATTTGGTAGAAACCTGCACAATGACCAGCATCCGAGTTGATGCACTTGTTTAGATCTTGAAGAGCAGCATCTCTTGCAGCTTGTGATGCATGTTCAACAGCGAGATGTGGGCATAAGGGGCAAATGCGGCTAAGCAGACCAGCCCTGCCATCCTGAAACATGATGGCATACGCTCTTCGTGCTTGCAACTGTCGAACCATTGCTTCACAAGGTTGCGAAGCATCACAAAGACCAATTGAAGATGACGCCAGCCCTCATTTGCGCACCTGTTTAGATGCTCCCTCAGGTCCCTGCCATCGATGAGCAACTCGAATGCCCATTTCCACCCCATCCCATGCAGAACGAAATCCACATACGCCTCCAACCCGTAGATCTTGCCGACTGTTGGGGAGAAGTAAGCACCCTCCGGAAGCAAACTCGTCACCGCCCTGTTTCAGAGGAAATGTTGTTGGCTCGATTGGGGCATGGCTCTAATGCATTGAGGCGACCAGGCCGAACTCTGCGGATTGCCCCATCTGCATGATCTTCCATTTGCTGACTGAAGGCTGACAGCACTGCCCGAATGGCAAAACTAACAAGGATAGTTGGGGAGGAGTTGAGGCTACCCAATCTGAACACCGTTCGATGTGTTGGCTGATTGAAGACTAGCAGCACTGACCGAACAGATTTCGATGCACTTCACGAGTGATCACAGGACACTCACGAGTACAGCTCGAATTGGAAGTGCGACTCGAGCACACCCCCTACTACACCGCCCCTCGTGCTGAGATTCAGGCTGTTCTGGAGCATGGGCGGCTGCATCTTAGACAGGGCCTCCTCCAAAAAGGCCTCCAGGGATTGCGGCATCTGCTTGGGGGTGCCCCACACCCTCCTGGCCAGATTGTAGCGGTAGAATTCCATGTGCAATCCGCTCGTGAAGGACACGCTATCCTTTTCTAGGAGAAGGTACCCCGACTTGGCGAAATCCTCTGCCTTGTCAGCCAGCCCCGGGGCGCTGCGCCGCACCGCCTCCAAAGATTCCTACAGAGTGAGAACGTATAGGTGAGACGCTCTAAGTCGGCAGAATGGGCACTGGCTCAGATTCTTGAGCACACAATATGGACGAAAGCACCACAACGCTGGACAGGAAGGACGCCGACACCCACCTGACCCCGAGACGCTAAGAGGCGGCTGATCAAGTTGAGCGCCTCGCGGTCCTTCACCAGCTCGCTTACGCTGAAAAAGGATACACGGGGTTAGGCGCCGCCACTGACTACATGCGTAGACTTGTGGAGCTTCAAAAACGTGACCCTATGAAGAAAGCGCGAGAAGCCAGTGCACGAGCCTAAATGCATGCATGCAAGAGGTTTACGATGCTGCTTGAACACTTTTCACGTGGAAGCATGGGCCTGCGAACGAATAAGGGCACAACAAGATTGCCCGAATTCCTCACGGAGGGAAGGACCGAGTTCCAGAGAGAGAATCGAGCAATCTTGGGGACGCTACGAAGTCCACCGCCTTTGCGGCCCATTCCGCGGCCCTCCCTGCAAAGTTGGACGGTGAATGGCCCTTGAGGAGGTCCAGCACGTGAAGAACACTGCCCGGGTGCCGCTCCGTTGTTGCCTCGATGACGTCACCAAGCGTCCGAAGCTGGCCCTTGTCACCGGCAAAGCCGATGTTGTGAAGAAAGGACTCAATGACCTGCTCGTACTCTTCCATAGTAAATTGAACGGCTGGCTCCGGGGAGTTGCTATCTGCTGGGGTTGCGAAGCCAAGCCGAAGCCTGTAGTAAGGAAGAGCATATGATCGGAAGCCGTCAATTGCCTTCATCCTCTTCTGGAGAGGCTCAGCTCAACTTCAGGGCCAGATCCAGTCCAAAGCTTCCAGATACGTCAGACTGCAAAATCAGTCTGTGAAATCACAGGTACGGGCTGGCATACGAATATTGTTAAAAGCGAGCTCCTGAGGACACACAAGCTGGTCTAGTATACTCTGATCCCGGCATCATCCTTCGGGGGACATCAAAAAAGTATAAGAATCAGGGATAGGGTCTTTGTTTCTTCGACCTTTTGACAATCTATCAACTGCACAAAGCTTGACGCTTTCGACACTTCCTAGTATTGGGGAAACTCTGCTCCAAAAATGACGGCAACTGTGCTTAGGCGGGAAGGTACATTTAATGGCACCTCAAACAAACAAGGGCGCCCACGATCAGCTAGAGCCAATGTCGTCATGCTCACCGGAGAGGGATCCTTTGATCGTCGGAGAAAGAGATGGGAGTACTTGGCAGTCCGGTAGCAGAAGGGTTCGAGCCTCGCGATGCAGACAGAATGATGTTCACTCTGCCTTGACGTGCCCCGCCAGGCTTGAACCGCGCCCCAATGTCCTTGGCGAGCGGCCAGAGGAGCGCGTGTCCCGGCCCCGGAGAGTAAAGATTTTGTACCTCATCAAAGATCAGCAGCTTCTTTCTGAGAGGGGGCAGAGTAGCGCTTGAGCTTGCAGAGGGTCTACCTGCCTGCTTGTCCGGGCTATTTGCTGGAGACTTTGACGCCTCTGCAAAAGTAACTCCAGCTTGATCATAGAAGACCTCATCAAATGTCTGACCACCACTGCCGACGCGCGCGCAATTCACGTAGTAGACACTCTCATAGACTGCGCTCCTCTCGGCCTCTTCATAAACAAGCTGACACAGTGACGTTTTTCCCGAGCAAGGGCTTCCTGCTAAGATTAAGACGCCCTTCTCCTGAACGCGATGCAGAATTTTATGGCACGTTTCGACACGGGGTGTGAAGAAACCCCCCTTCCGTCGTTGGTTGATCCCCTCGCTCTCAGCCCCCACCAGGGGCACAAATGTGTTAAAGCTCGCGCCTGCAAGCACAGGGAGAGTCAATGTGAACAAGGTGCTATGTCACGCCTGAAGTCCCACAGGACAAATTCTACATCAAAGCTGGTGATAACCCATGAGAGCTCCGGCACCAGAAAGCTCCGGCACACTGCCAGATTGCAGGCATGCACGATTGCTATTGCATAGGTGTTGAACTTATGAGAGCTTCCTTCCAAACCAAATCTGTCAGGCCGGGAAGCGGAGGCACTTGCAAAACCCTCCCTCCACCCTTCAAAATGAAGCAACGCCTTGCCTGACAAATGAAACAACCTGGGAAGCAGAAGGAGCTACTCCAAACAAGCGCCGGATTGGTGTGCTATGGATCGACATAACCACCATGCGAGCAACAACGACTTCCGAAGAAGATAGACCATTGCAACATGGGGAAAAGGTGCAGAAAAACATGTGACTCACCAGTTCCTGTGGTGCTCGGACCAGCAGCCGCTGCACAAGGCCAAAACTGAATGTCAGCACGATTAAAGCAAAGTCCATTGACAAGAAGGCTGCAGAGGATCAGACAACCAGCAGCAATGACATGCTCGAACGCGCTTTAGGCGCAGAATACTCAGCAGCCAAGACGAGACAAGCCTCCTGTGCCGCACCTGCGCGATGAGCATAGATGTACTGCCTTTGTTGACTCACAGAAAAGCAAGAATCTCGATTCAGTCTAAAACAGCAAATAGAGTCTGTATGAATGCTTCTGCCGGGCAGACTTCCATAACAAACACCGAGCTCAGGAAGCATGTGCAATCAATTTGGCCCTGACGGGTGAAACAACTCAGGAAGCAGAGGGAAAATCTCCAAACAGGCACCGCCACACTAGAGGAGTGGTGTGGATCATTGCGTCTACCATCAACCAGAAAGCTCCGGCGCTTCTGCCCGATTGCAGGCATGCACGATTGCTATTGCATCGGCCTGAGCTCCTGGGACCTCCTTTGGCAGTATATTAAGGAAGTCATCAATTGATTTTGTACTACCACATCGAACCTTCATGCCTTGAAATATTCATGATTGGGTGCACACAAAGCAGGTTGTAATTACCACAACATCATTTGTGGGACAAGAGTCCAAGTAGAGGAAACTGCTTACTTGGAACTGCTTTGAGAAAGGCATCCCAGCCATCTGCCCACTCCCCTGGACCTTGATACTCGGCTCTCCATCGGGTCAGATATTCAATCCTGTCCTTCTCAGGCGTGGATTTCCAGACCGCCAAGTCAAACTCCTTTCGCATCAAGTGGTCCAGCAGCTTGCTTTTGATTCTTGAATCGTACTCAAGCCAGCTCTCCCTCGATGCAAGCTGTGGAGGAAAACACTGATGATCAGCACAACAATGTATGGCCGTCTCTTTGGTAGCATCGACGCTAGAAAAGACAAACCTGCTGCAGTCTTTAAGTGCAGAACTTCCATTGTCCAGGCTCACCTCCTCGGAAGAAGGGCCAGGGTTTGGTTCGACACCGCCAATGTTCAAAAGCGTTGCTGCACAGGAGGATGACACGGTCAGATGCTGCATATGCGACCTGCTGGCTTCATCCATAAAGCAATCAGAAAAATCCAGGACAAATTGACAGAAAGGTGGTATTGAGACGAGCCCAAGAGCTCTTCACGTGTTTGCACGTTCAGATGAAGCCCTGCTGCTTCCTAACATACTGCAGATCCACAGTTGCTATCAAAGTGCCTTACCTATCAGCAACTGGCTCATGGGCATGGAAGCCCGAACCCCCTTTTTTTGAGAATCGTTCCAAGCTGCAGAGGAAAACAGCGAAAGTTGGATTGCTTTTCTTCACAATGTGTGTGTTAAATGCACAGCCAAAGATATTATAGTGCATCAGAGGCATGACAGAGACCTCGCTGCCTTGAACTGTTTACAAGGGAACAACCAACTGGTTTACCAGAACACGCCAACCCAAACTCTAAAACATAAAATGTCAAAGCTCATCATAGTATATGGTCTTGAAGAGCTGCAAAGTTGGCCGAACCGCGGAAGATGTACCATAGCTTCTCCTTGGTACGCAACTTTTGGTACGCTAGGAACCCCTCCAGATGAACAAAAAAACAGCCATCTGAGCCCAGCGTCACCAAGCAAGAGAACTCTCTTTTCTTCGCCTTGTTGGGTGACACCTGCCAATGATTCGTGGCTCGAGCATGCAAAATAATGATTGGACCTGTGGCTTGGTGCTCACCTGCTGACCCTGCCCATGACCAAGGAGGGGCAGATAATCCCAACCCTTTTTTCTCCTGCTTGCATTCATGACAGGCAGAGTTCGCCTTCCGCAGCATTTCCTCGCGAGCCTGAACCCATGCTGCAATGAGAAAAGGGCACGATCAGTCCAGAGCTGCAGGAGCTGCAGCCATGCCAAGTCCTGCTCGATTCAAGGTCAATCTAGCCTCCTTTTGCACACAAGCAGGGTGCGTGCGTCTTCTCTTACCTGCTCGGTCCCTGTCAATATGGAAACAACCCTTTATTGGGCCGTGCAGCTCGCAGTAGTAATGGATGTTGCCTCCATTCTTGCTTCCCCGGAGCCCCCATTCTGCTGTCAAATTGCTCTCATTGCAAAAGGTAGCATGTGGGTCTGGAAAAGAGACAAAAGGCAAATCATGGAAGCAAGGCCAATCCACCTAACACAAAGACCGGCCGTGCCATCAATTTCAGGAACTCTACAAAAAGTGACCTATTGATACTAAGTAAAGAAGCGGCCAGCACTTGGTTTCCTTTCCTGCCATGCCATCAACTTCTGGCACTAAACCAGGAAATGGCCCACTCATATCTCAAGAGATAACCGGCCATTTCTTGGCACACTTCCTACTTCACCTTCTTGCGCCCTTCTCATGTTTCAGGGCACGCCCAGCCATGCCTACAACTTCTGGCTTTGTACCAGGGAATGATCCTTTGAAGTCTCCGACTTGAAGAAATAAGTGGTCAAAATCTGGTACACTTACATGCGCACAGCCAGCCATTCTGCTGGTCGATGCTGATGAAACATCATCAATCCAATGTTTCAAACAAGAAGAAGCAAACCCACCACGTTCCGCAGCGCAATTCACAGCTTCTCTGAGCGCTCGAGCATCCTGCCGCTGTGCTTTCCGATCCGCAGCGCTGCAGCGTCCGCGTGCTGGAACCTCTCGAGCAGTCTGCCCCTCATGCTTTGATTCCTTCGATCTTTGACACCGCCGGCGGCGAGGGGCAGGGATGTCATCGCTCCGCGCATTGACAGCAGCAATCAGAATCTCTTGCCTTTCTGCGCTGATTGAGATGCGCTCCCTATACGCTGCAGCGCGCGCAAAGCGAGCAGCCTGGCAGACCCAATGATCAGACTTGGTCCGACCACAAGGCCGGCTTCTTGCCATGATCTTTCAAGCGCCAGCTCCGCCAGTGATCACAGCTGCAAGCACACAAAAAACCAGGTCTAAATTGCCTACAGCAACTAAAGCTCAATCCAGCTCAGAGCAGACCCACAGCTTCAGGACAGAGCACAGGTACGGAAGCAAAGCACAGCAGGCTTTCTGCCCCAAAAGCTTGCAGCCCCAGAAACGTGCTGAACGAAACACCTACTCTCCAGAAGAGACTTGCACAATGTTTGTGCCTTCTCCTGCAATGCTTGTAGCTGCCAAGGGACCCACAGATTAAGCTGATTGTATCAAAGTAAGGAATCTCTCAAGCATCGCATGCAAGTGAAAGCTGTAGCAGCGTACCTGACTGGGACCTAGCTGAGGAAACCCTTCCGCCGGGCCGAATTCCCTGCCACAAGTGGCAGCATTGGAGACGCAATCCTGCTGCACAGAGACAATCGAGAAAAGCGAACTCCAGCCACAGCTCAGCCACACACTCCTTGCCTCTGACTGAATCACAAAGACCTAAACCATTTGCAATCCAAGGTCAGTCGCTATCCTGCTCTCGCGAGCTTGTGTTTGTTCGAGTTGGCACGATGCTGCTGGCTGCTGGCACAATGCTGGAGACTAGCAGTGGCAGCTGAGCTGGTGACTCCTCGGGAACGGTCTGAACTGACCGTCCACGGTCACTCTCTGTCCGGGCCCCCGGCCTGCAGCGGTAACGGTCAGGTCCTGGGCTTTGTGGCACATAGCCTATGCTCGAGGGGCTGACCACTGGGTGCCCGGTAGACTGACCAGGCAGAGTTGGGTGGGAATGCAAGGTCGCGCCAACTGAGTTTCACAGGCTGGCCCGCCGCGCGGTAGCCTGCCAGTACCCATAGCGGCCGCGTGCATGCCAGTGCGAGCGGCCGCTCGATCAGCTAGGGCCATGACTCAGGGCCATGCAGCTAGCCAGCTGGGGATAGGGTCTACCGCGACGTCGAAAAGTTCTCCAATGTGTTTTCGATCAGAGTCACCATTGCTTCTCACTTTGTGCATGCCCGGCCGCTAATTAAGCGGGTGCAGATCGCGCTCGGCTAGGCGCTCCAGCGCTCCTTCATCCGTAGTGTGCCATTACTGCCGCCGATGGCGCGCCACGTATCATTCATGTATCTTTGACGAAGAACTAGTCGGCTTCTTTCTATCACATTCTTGTCACGCATTACGTATGCAAATTGGATTCTGCTGACGGCGACGTGCAGTCACAGTATGAGGACAGAATGGAACTTCGAATTGTGCAGCTAATTCGACGCGGGTGCAATGGAGGATCCTTGAATCATGCTGCTCGCACTATCGCATATGGAACGAAAAACAGCGTCTACAAACCGGTCAGGCTTCTTTCCAATCCGCATTTGATCAAGCACTTCGTAGACCGCGACAGCATCCATCCTAATGTCAAGCCTCTCGAGGTCCAAACAATGAATGCATCAAGTGGACTAGTACTATCTGACCGTCAAGAATTATGATTGAAACGAAGTCCTTTGAGTCCTCGTAGCAGCAGCTGATTGTGATTCATCTGGCCCCGAGAAAGGGTCATGCCTCACGACTAGCTTTCCCACCTGAATACCATGCAGATAAGTTCAAAACAGTCCAAAGCCTGTGTTCGCCTCCCTAACAGAGCCCGCTTGAGAAACTCGAACAGCGTCCTCCAGAGATCACATGTGGGAGTGAGTACGACGTCGTCAGGACCCCTGAGCTATTTGATACGATGGGAACTTCACGCTTGACGGTTTCGAAAAACTTTTTGTCGTTCTCGCAGAACCTTCAAACCTTGCAAATTCTGCATGTGCATGATCAAGGCTTTTCCATTGGCACAGGTTTCGCGAGCAGTAGATAAGGCTAGTACTTCCGCCAAGGAAGCTGCTCGACACGAAGACTTTCTCGCACTAACGAACAAAACGTTCCTCATTATTCTTTCATTAGATGTGGCCATCATGCTTGATGCTCAAAGAAAACACGTCAAGAATTGGAGCTGATGCTGGCAGAATGAAGCTGGCAGGTCCCTTTGGAAGCGGCCTGACGTGTCCGCAAAATCGCCGGGTTGACCTCTTACGAGCTTCGATGCATGTTGAATGCAAGAAGCGGCTGAAAAGCTACGCTTGAAAAAATGAAGTAAGAACGTCCGTTACTGCAATTGTTCCTTCTCTATGTGTTTGCCTTTATCGAACACCATAAGGCGTACCAAGAATACGAGTCAAGCAGTCAATAAGTTGGTTGAAGTCTGCAAGCCTCAAGCTAAGGCTCACTCATTCCACCGTACCCCGCTGCTGCAGTGCAGTAGAATGGCCTGCTCAAATGACCTATAAAAGGACAGGACTAGACCAAAATCTGTCGATCAAAAAGCTGCAACATATCCAACACGTTGTAGGACTGCGTCTAATCGCGATCAGCAGTCAATAAGGCTGGACCATCGTCTTTTGAGGAGCTACTGTATGTTACAGTCCCTTTCGTATAATTGTGGTTTTCTCTTGTCGGACGTCTGTGGGTGGAAATATTGGGGGGCTGAGATCGTGTCTGTGCCCCGTCTGTGCATTTGCTGATAAGGAGCAATGAGCTGCAGGTGCGCGTTCAGGTTCAGAGGTGATGATGCACGTTCAAATCATTTCACAGCTGTCACAGGCACTGCATCCGAGGCTCGGCGGTTGTACACATGGCAATAGTGTGAAAAGGATTGAAGTGAGCATCGATGAGCTTTCCGCCTCTGGCCAGGCAAGGTGCCGCTCTCAACTCTGATTGCTGTAAATTGAGCCCGCCATGACTATCTCCATGACTGTATCCATCGAAAACTGGCGGGTTGGGTCTTGTCAACGATCGTCGTCGGATTCAAGCCGCTGTGGCTCAGCTGATCAGGCACGTCGACTTCGGAAGGTAGGTTTCGGAATGAAGGCGGCCTCGAGCAGACTGCCGGCTGCCGACAGACAACAGATTCATGAAAGTCGATGATCGAAGCTCTGCAGAGGCCGCGAAGCTATTATTTCAGTCTTTCATTATCCCTCAAAAGCATCAACGGTTTTGTTGGAGAAGGTCGAAGGACTGCATTTGCGAACTAAGGGCATCCTATCCTACATCGAAAATGCTTTCCTGGTCCTCTTCAGCGCTGCTCTTTCTCTTGACTTGGTTGCCTTTCTGGGGAGCGATTCTTGATGGAGCTTGCAGATTGGGGCATAGCTTGTCTGCTGAGCTTGCTCAAACGCAGTACGAACTTGGCATAAGCGCCTTGAACAAGAACCCCGCCAAAGCACTAACGTTCTTCACGGGAGCAGCTGAGCTTGGGCACTCAGAAGCGCAATACGAGCTAGGGCAGGCGTATGGTTCTGGCGAGACCGGGATTGAACAGGATTTGGGAGAGGCGGCAAAGTGGTTCAAACAGGCAGCTGACCAAGGACATCTAGACGCGCTCAACTTCTTGGGCATCTGGTATCAAGAAGGGACAGCAGTGATCCAAAACCATCTTGAAGCTGCTGCTCTATTCAAAAAAGCTGCAGATCAGGGGTCTGCCTTGGGGCAATTCAACCTGGCAATTTGTTATGAGCACGGGATGGGAGTCTCTCGGAACGAGGCTGAGGCAACTGCGCTCTACAGAAAGGCGGCAGATCAAGGGGATGCCTCTGCGCAGTTCAGTCTGGCAATCTGTTATGCAGATGGAAAGGGAGTTGATCAAGATGATGTTGAAGCAGTTGAACTTTATAAGAAGGCGGCTGAACAAGGACGTTCTGACGCTCAATTCAATCTTGCACAATGTTATGCAGAGGGTCGAGGAATTGCTCAAGATGACGTGGAAGCAGTTGCTTGGTACACAAAGGCGGCTGAACAAGGAGACGTTGACGCTCAGTTCACTCTGGCAGAATGCTACGAAGAAGGCTACGGAGTTCATCCGGATGAGGTCGAAGCAATCGCGTGGTATACAAAGGCTGCCGAACAGGGGGATGCTGAAGCACAGTGCCGACTTGAAGGTTTGCAGCGCGGGAAGGGCAAAGTAGGCTTTGATCAAGACGATCGTGAGAAGCTGGCTGTTGAACGGTATACGAAGGCAGCTGACCAAGAACACTCTCAAGCTCTCTTTCAACTGGCAGAATGCTGTGACAAGAGCATCGGAGTCAGTCAGGATAAGATGGAGGCGTTTGCAAGATCTGTCAAGGCCGCTGAGCAAGGTTGCGCTGATGCGCAATTCAGTGTGGGTGTCTTCTACTCGAGTGACGTAAAGTGGTTGGGATTGCCTCCGAATCAGGCGAAAGCAGCAGAGTGGCTGAAGAAAGCGGCTGAGCAAGGTCATGAGGAAGCGCACCTCAAGCTGATGAAAGAATGGAAGGCTGCGGACGAAGGGGATGCTGTTGAAGGAGGTTCGCTGATGTGCGATTGGTCCTGAGGATGTGCAGATATGCAGAAATGCTTCATAATTGTCACATGAGCAATGACGTGGGACAGCTAAGGAGATTGATTGAAGTGCGATTTGTCTTGAGGATGCGCAGGTATGCAGGACTGCTTCATACTTGTTACATGCCACTGCTAGCAATACAGAGTCACAAGTTTCAGGACTTCTTCTACTTTTGAGCCTCTGCACCTTTTGGCAAAGTGGCAACACGAAAGCCAGGATTCGCTTACTGTGTCCATCTAATGTACTCGGATAGGAGAGTTGCTTCCGTCCTTGTTAGAACCCAAGCATGATGGCGGCCTAGAGTCAACCTGAAATATGCTGATTCGTATCCTTGGTACACAGGTCTCATTCTGATTACTCACCCAGGTTTGCAAGTTCTCCGTTCAAGCAGCCTCCCTTTCCTTAGATCGTGACGTGAACTAGGTTCTTGGAGGATGAAAGAGGTTCTCCTAATTTCACGTACAGAAATGAAGCGCGGTATGCAGGCTCCGGTTATGCTTGCCACGCGCCGAATCAATTCATACGCCCCAAATTGCTTGATCAGCGCGCATGGCCAATCTTTTGTCCTCCATGAGCAACCTGCTTCTGGCTCTTTTGGTAACTCAATAGGTCCATCTCAGTGTCCATTTCAATGGCCGCTCGCGATCACCAAAAAGCTTTCACTTCCTAAGCGAGCTTAATTAACACTGACGAGCTTTGTTTCAAATTTCCCCGTATTTTATCAGTAGTGGGCCTGCACAGCTCAATATATTGCTTTCAGTAGCGACATACGGTATACTAACCCTCACGTGAATCGATGCCCCGCATGTGGTTGGTCAACAGCAGCTTTAACTCTTACTGCACGTGTGTGTACTATAGTCATTGATCGAAAGCTGACTAGATGTTCAATCATGCAGGATCCGATCGCCCCGAGCTCTCTGCCCGTTCGCTTGAAGAGCTTGATTATGGATTGAGAGTAAGCTAGTCCATGCAGCTCACTAAGTCAGTGCGCGGTGGCAGAAGACACTAAGTTCAGCTCTGTGCATTTTTGGGGCTAGGCCGCGCAGCGCACGCCAGGCAGGCGCTGCTGTGCCGTCTATAATATCGCATAATCAACTTATGCACGCTCAGCCCTGAACATACTGTGGCCGGCGGGGGCCCGTATACGTAATTGCTGCAGTCGGAGTCACATGTACAAACGTCACGCTAGTTAATAACGCGTTTATAATAGTGCCAGAGCTAGTCGCGATCAGACCGGCTTCAGATGGCCACTAAATTTCACCGCTTAACCATTGAACGAAGAAGCCAGGCACAATTGAACCTCTGTGTCGGATTGCATGTCATAGAATCAGCCGTGCGTAAAACGGCAATGGTAAGGTGTCAACATATATCAGTGCATGGTCATCACAAATACTTCCGCCGAAGAAGGCTTGGAGCCATGCAATGCAGACGAATCATTGAAAGTCATCTTACTAGTGAATGAATTCGATCAGAATGCAGCCACAGCCCCAGGCCGCATCAAGATGTCTTCGTTTCGCGTCATACTGATGCCTTGTCCGTCTACTACACTGGCCGGAGTTTGGCGTGTCAGTGGCCATGGGGCGTACTAGTCAACACAATTTGATACTGCCCGGTCCTAAAAAGCAACACTTGGAGCCAAATAGACACGAAAAGAATGCCCAATTTTGAACAACTCATTCTAAAGAATGCTCGTCTACCTCTTCCCCCTAGCAGAAACGCCCGTCCTCCGTTCGGTGTCTTCCAAGATCACGCCATCCTTTTGTATCGCGTGCGCCTCGATATCCGCACCCGGCTCGTATTCCGTCCCTCGGAACTCCGGCGCAATATCCTTCAGCCTCTGCTTGTCGTTTTCTATCACGTTCGGGTGACCATCGATACTCTCTTGCATCTGCTCGATATCTGGATTCGGAGCTTCCGCTTTCGCCTGCTCTTGGTTACCTCTAACCCTCCCCTCCTTAGGCCCTGACCCTTTGTCGGACGCTTGTTTCTGCCCCTCTTTGCCGGAGGGCGCCATCTGCTCAAAGATGCCCAACTCAATATCGCCCTCCAGATCATCGTATTCCCTTTGAGGATCCTGCATCGACAAACATTGCTCAGATCCTTGTGCACTGGTAAGATTCACCTTCAAGATAACACGTGTCAGCCAAGAGGCACACTGTTGCAGTAGGGATTGGCATGTGTATGTCTCAGCAATTCTTGCACTGATGAAGTTGGCTCAACGGCAGACTACACAACGCTCGGTTTTCAGAAATGTTAGGATGTCTGCTGAGTGCTTTGTGACGGCTTTATGGACGGCGTACAATTCGGTGAGATAGAATACTCCATAACTTACAAAAGACAATGTAGGACTTCTCGAAGATCTTCAAAGACGAAAAATATATTCCAACGCCTTCGGCTCTCATCCCGCAGAGCTCTTGGTAAAAGTTGGACTTCCGATCAGACAAATGACGATTACGCTTTCAAACCGTCACCGACTTTGCGCGAAAAAGCACTTCCCCAATCTTTTCGATTCTGAAACCGAGAGTCCCCCTGATAAAGTTCCGGCTTTCTCGGACGTCCGTAGCCTCACCTCTTCCACCGTCATATATCCGGAAAACTCATCCCCGTCCGAAAACTCGTCGTAGTCCTCCACCTCTCCGACGGGGTCCAAGTCGGGGGATCCACCACTCCCCTCGCTGTTCTCCGCCCACACCCCCAGCTCCTCAGTCGCGCGCTTCTTCCCGATCCACCGCGCGAGCTGCTTTAGGGGTATCCTCTCCACGACGTCCTGCACGGAACCTCTAGAGGAAATGTCCCAGTTGACCGCAGCCCTGATAAAGCCCTGGGAGTCGATCTCCGATTCTTTCACCGCCCGGTTTGGCGTCGCCCAACTCCAAATGCTGTTCTCGTCCGGTGTCGGCGCCCCCAAATCGTCGTCGACGCTCGACTGTTTCTCCTCGTCCTCCGTTCGCTTCCCCACCCAGCTCCATACGCTATCCTCCTCCTGCGCAGACCCCAGGTCATCGTCTCTCTCCGGGCCCCTTTCCTGCATTTTGTAGCCCCCGCCGCTCGAGCGGCTTGTCTCGCCCACTGTTGCGGACGCCCACGCCCATAAGGTATCGTCCGAAGTGCTGCTCTCGGACGCTGCTTCGCGGTCCGCCCATCCGGAAACGGACGGCATCGACTCGCTCGTCTCCTCTGAACGCACAACGCTTGCTCCGTTCGTCGACTTCCGGGGGACCGTCACGGCGTCTCGGTCTTGCTCCGCCGTTGAAGCGGACACCGACGCGCCGTCACCTTCTAAGGCATCTTTCCCTGCCGTCTCTCCATCAACTGATGATCCCGCCACGCCGCTGACGTCATTAACGACGAAAGCCACGCTCCCGAAACCGCCCTGCGTGGCCAACGAGGGACCGCTCGCTCCATTCTCTGATCCCGCGCCCTCCGTCGCAGGCGCGCTGACGTCAGCAACCGCAACTGCGGCCAACGTGGGCGCCCCTGGCGCCCCCTCCGCGCTGACGTCATCTTTGACCGCCCCTTCTTTGGCGGGCACTAGACAGTACGGCCCCTGCTCGGTCCCTAACCCGTACTTCAACTTAACCTGCTCCATCTTCAGCTCTTCCAGCTGCTTCCGCAGTGCAATCTCCTGCTGCAAAAGCACCCCCTCCTCGAGTTCTCTCCACGAAGCCAGCGCAACGCCCCCCGGAAGCGGGATCTTCCCGTCTTCCGTTACCCCCCCCAAATCCTTCCCCAAAACCCGGTTTCCTGTAGCAGTAACCGGCTGTCCCCCCGTTTGCAGCACACTCGCTGCGGCAGCTGCGCCCGCCACAGCCTCGGCAGCCGGGGGGGCCGTTCTCGGGCCTCTTTCCAGCTTCGGGGGGGTGATCATGACTAGCTGCGACTCAGCGGACTCCCCCCCCTTGGCGCCCCACTCCTGAGCTCGGAACTCCATCGACTCCCTCAGAGTCCGCCGCAGAAACGTGACGTCATCCTGCCTCATCCCCAGGTCTTCCAGCAGCCGGGACCCCAACCGAAGGCTGGTCTCCGTGTTTTCCGGAACCACTTCCGTGGCGCCCGCGAGTTTCAGCTCATACGAGTGGCTCAGATCTTGCGCGCGTGCGTAGATCGGCACCTCTTTGTAGATCTCGGCAACGCTCCGCACGGCTTGAACCGCGCGCTGGCGTCCGGTGTAACAGACCATGATCGCCTTGGGTTTGGTTACCCCTGCGCTGGTTAAAATCTGGGGCCGGCTGCCGTCGCCGAAAATAACCGGGAAACCCAGGCTGCGCGCAGTCTTAACCCGTTTCGGGTCAAGATCAAACGCGACGTAGGGCCAGCCTTTGGATTGGGAAGCCTCGGCGCTGGACAGGGGGGTGGATAACAGGTTGGCCAGGACCTGAGAACAGAGAAGAAAAGAAAGGTTTCGGCGTTAGGTGATTTGCTAATCTGAGGGAAAACGTGAGAACGAAACGCATTGCCGAGCATTGCAAAATGGCCGAAAAGTACCAATTCTCTCAGAGAATGCCCCTCACCGAGTCGCTAAGCAGAATTGAGCACGCCAGCGACAGAGTAGAGGCAAGAAGAAAATCGGTCAAGCTGTTCAATGCGGGAGCACATGTCTTCAGCTTTTGGAAACGGAACCCTTCTCAGTTCTTTCGTCGTATAGGAAGGCAAATCTGTGTGATCGCTCCCTTCATTCTACGTTTGAAAGCACAAAAGGACTCGACTCTCAAAGGGGTTTTGTTCCCATAAAGAGGTTTTCGATTGTGGCAGACGTCTGTTGCCCTCGATCTACTTTTCACGTGACTTCCTCTTCCGAGCAATTTCGACACCAAGGACGCTGAGTGTTTCCGATAGTTGCGGGCTTTTCACCCTGTTCATTCACTGCTTCACCTTACAAGCCTGCCATCGCTATCTTTTTGCCATACTCCTGCCCAAGCTGTTGCAAGAAATCCTTCCAAGCCAGTCCAAGCTGCCTAAAGATCCAGAAGCCTTGAACCCAAAACCTTGATACCCATTCAAGTTCTCTGCCACTTTTCTTCGAATTCCGAAGCTACTCCAGAAGCTGTGGAGAGTAGCTTATACTGGCAAGCGCGTGTAGAAAAATTAGCATCCGGCAGACGGATGGGGTTAGACAAGGGATTAGGGTGGGTGCGGGTGCGGAGCGCATCGAGTGTCAAGGTTGGTCAGCTGATAGCTGAGATGCCTGAAGCTTCTGTCTTATTTCAAGCTGCGATGAATGCCAGTTTCTTTTGGTGTTATTTGAATATACTCCCTTCTTACCTGTCCAAGCTGCCCGAACCCAATGATGACGATCGGCTCCACCGCCTCCGTGATCTGCGACTGTGCGTCCGCGTCGATGTCGATGACTTCGGTGAATATCTCATCGATCTTGACGGCCAGCCAGCGGCCCAGCTCATTCAGCAGCGGAGTGAGGGCCATCGAGAGGACAACCACGATGATGAGCAGCCGGTTCAGGTTGGACGGGAGAACGCCCAACCTGCAGAGAAACAATGTTCTATTATTTCGCTTTTTCTTCTTCTTTTTTTGCAACAAATCGACTTCATGTTTTGCAATAAACTGACCTCAAGCAGCAAAGAACAAGAAACGCCCTTTCCTGTGCGACTTTTCCCTTCGAGTCGCTGTATGCAACACTTGAGAAAACTTCGGTTTGGGTGCTGGTTACTGGCCAGCACGCCCACCCGCAGGTCAAAACATCGGCTCAGAGGTCATCTTCCTCCATAGATTGTCCCTCCGGAAGTTTACGAAAAACACTCAGGGAGCGGATGTTCGGTCTGATCGCTGTTCAAATCTGAGTGCAAGCACGCTCAAAAGTGGGAGGAGGGACAAAGGGGTTGTTGTCCCGAATGACAGCCCAGAAGAGAGGGTATGAAGCTGGTAAGGAACTCGGTGTCTGCAAAATGGAAAGCTAAAGCAGCAGGATCGGTGCAACTACTCGATCGAATGCATCAGATAGAGATAGAACGTGAATCAATGGACGTGGTCGGGGAAAGCGACTGCCTTTACGGTAAAGAGCACACAAGATGCAACCACTTGATTGAGAGACGCAAGTGAAGGCTGACGCCTTCGCAGCATCTCGAAACCCCGAAACTGAATCGAGCGACCTCGTCAAAGGGAAGTAGCGCTTGGTAGACGCCGATCGAGCAACCCCTAACCTCAAGGAATCCAAAAACCTAAAACGCTCGTTTCAAGTAACAGCGGACGCACCTGTTGGCTAGAGCGAGAACGACAAAGGCGAACTCGCCCCCCTGCGACAGCAGCAGTCCAGTGCGGACGCTTTCGGCGAGGGTGAGTCCGAACCGCGGGGCCAGTCCGGTAACGATTCCGGTCTTGACCGCCAACATGCCGAGGAGCAACGCAGTGATGTCCGGCCAGTTGGTGGCGATGAGCTGCGGAACGGAACGGGAACGGAACGGCTTGTCAGGAGTTGACAAACGATGCGGTAAGCTTTTGCGGAGCTGAGGATCTAAGCGATCGCTTATCAGGTCTGAAGTGTTCTATTCGTCCTCTCTCAAGTTCTTGTCTGCCCCAAGGTCGAACCTCGGAGAAACCCATTGAAGCCTAGACACAATTCGTAGGAAGTTTCAATTCGAGCCCCTATCGCAGTCAGAAGATCAGTGCCCTTTCTGCAGCGCTACCAAACAGGTCGGTTCTGACGATGCAGCGACCGAATTTTTCATCAGAATTGAACAGCACCGCTTACGACCGTTGGTCACCAGAAAATCACACAAATCATCTGGCGTGATAAAAGAGATCAACAGCGCGCAAACAACCTGGGAAGGAGAATGCAGAAGGTGACAAAACCTGTAAGTAGAGGTGGGTGACTTACACCGAGGTCGATGGAGGTCCCGGTAGTGACGAAGAACAGCCCGATGAGCAGTCCACGGAAGGGCTTGATGTCCGCTTCGATCTGCGTCCGGTAGTTGGTCTCGGACAGAAGCGCACCCGCCAGAAACGCGCCCAACTGCGGAGAAAACGACGGGCTTCATTTCCATAAAAGTGTTGAAAAGTAGTTGTCTAAAAAGTGCAGCTACTCCTCCATCAGATCACATTTGATTGACACAGAACTTGGGCAGGTTGCCCAGAAGAAGTATCATAGGTGCACGTTTTAGCTCTAGTAATATTTCCAATTTTCAAGTAGTCAGGTGCCGTTAAAGAACCTTCAACTAATCTGATGAGCCGTTCGGAATCACCACGGTATACTTGGACAACCATCGTGGCGGCATTCTCATGGTTGCAATACCAGCTTCTCCCTGACTGCAAACCTCTTGCGCGTCTGAAAGGCGGGAACAGGCAATTGGCAAGACGCGCTGCTTGATCTCCTGTTTCGGATGCGTCTGCGCATATTCGCTCTGATGGGGAGCTGCATATTTCAGAAATGAAATTTCACAAGTCCAACCCGGAAAGCTCTCAAACCCTATTGGAGACTTTGTATGACGACGGGCCAAACTGTACTCTTCGTTGCACAGCTTAGGCTGGGCTAAACCAAGGGCCCAAGTGAAATTTGTTGTACGAAAGTCCGTTCAATCTATGCAGTTCTTGTATACCTCGCCTTACTCGTGAGGTTGCGTCGAAGCTCACCGTGTCACTGAAGCCCAGCTTCTGGGTGAGGTACGAGGTCCCCGTGGCAGTCAGAAGGCTGAGGGCGATGAAGGCCTCAGTACTGCGGGAGTCGGCGACCGTCTGTAGAAGCCAGTAGGATAAGATTAGAAGACTCATGACCCTGTTTCGGACGCTTTTGTTCTCGGACGGGCAAACCCAAACTCTGATTCCGGACTCAGTCAGCCCAGTCTGCGGCTGCTCCAGCGCTTTGGTTTCCAATGTCGCGTTCAAAGTACCATCAGAAGACGAGCCCCGCGCGACACATTTTACACACGCGCGCATGCGGCCGCAGACTAGATCACCAAGTCCGAACTTGAATTCGAATTTGCCCGTCCGGAATCAAAGACGTCCGAAAGAGGGCGCAGCAGTCTTAGAACGCCCTAGCAAGAGGCCAAGCGTTCATGCCAAGAAAGCTCCGGTGCGTGGAAAGCGTCCGTACCATTCCATTCGATGTTCCAAAAGTTGAGATGCCATTTGAGGCAATACGATACAGCCCACGAATCCCGACAGGTTTTCCGCAATGTCCACGAGCTGGCAAACGGGGAATAACGATCAAGAAGGACGAACCAACAGTCTTCAGACACCGTCTCTTCAAAGCATTCGCAAGAGAAAGAAACGACAGACCTACAAGGGTGGAACCCAGTCAACCAAACACAGTATATCAAAGCATAGCTCCAGCTTGAGAGACTCGTAAAAGCATGAACGCTCACCTCAAACACTCGTCGCAGAAGCAAGCGGCCACCCAATAGAAGCAGCCCCAGGCCCCCGAGCGCTTTCAGCGTTGTGATACCGAGCGTCGCCCAGAGCACGCTGGGGTCGCCGCTCAGCTTGCCGCTCTCCAGGATTGGCAGGATGACCAGCAGGGGAACGACCGCGATATCCTGCAGATTTCAGGATTGATAGGATTGAGGGTTGTAAAGTCAAAGCATTTTTGAGAGGCGGAAACATTCGAGGTGTGATAAAGCTGCTGGCCCCATAGATGGAAAGAACAAGTTGACAGACACAGAGAAAAAAAAATGACACGTGGAGCAATTTCGGCCAGCGTTTATTATGTCCGTGTTCGATTTTTAGGGCGTTGAGCAGGTAGACTGAGTGCGTTCCAACCCCGATTCCGGATCAGCTTGCAACCTCCCCTTTTGAAAAAATCAGTTGAGTGATTGCGTTCCAACCCCGATTCGGGTCAGCTTGCAACTTTCGAAAGCATCAATTGAGGAAACAGGTTTCTGCACCTCAACCCCGACTCCAAATTGCTGTGCGCCCTCTGCTCTCGAGCCCTATTGCGGGAAAGAGCAGTCAAAAGCTGGGCAGAATGTATCAACCATTTTTGAGGTCAAATAACGGAATCTAGGACGAACTCTTCAAACAATTCAAGTGGATCCGCTCCAAACAATATCTCACCTGCATCAGCAGCACTCCCAACGTCGCTGACCCAAACCGCGTCGGCAGTTCGCCCTTCTCCGCCAGAAGCTGCAGCACAAACGCCGAGGACGAGAGCGAGAGCGCAGCCCCGATGACGACAGCCTCGTCCAGGCTGCGGATGTTAACCAAGTCGGGCTTGGAGTGCAGAACAGTGGTTAGGATGCGGGTTCCGAGGGCGTTGTTGATGGGCAGCTCGAAGAAGGTGAAGGTGGCACAGCAGAGCAGGACCTGCAGGAGCGGAGGGGGGCGTTTGTAGGAGAATCCTTCGCAGCGTTTGAATGTGTCGGCAGCGTTCAAGCACTGGCACAGTCCGAGGACAACTTCCCATCGTTTCCAGCTGTGCACGCACTTATATCCGCTGTCACCCGACCGCTCAGCTCATTTCAATAAGAACGGATTGAGAGGAGTCGAGCAAGTATCAAGCAGAGGGGAATGAAGCAACGAGCACACCAACTGAGAAAGATTGTCAGAGGAATTGAAATAAAAGGTGACGGATCTGTCATTGCTAGCCCAGGTTAGCGGCTTGCAATCGAGAGTAGAGCGGGAATAGCAAGAATATCTTGAGCATGAGGCGTCAGCTAAGCGTGGGCGGGAAAGCGAAGACTGGACGGGTATAAAGCTGAAAGTCATCTGCGCAGCTCAGGAAAGAGTGAAGGACACAGTGAACCGCAGCAGTGGAGCATCCTAGTTGCCAAGTTTTGATCCAGCCAGAAAGGATTGCTTCAGAGGCCTCAAAAAGCTACGTGGGATATTGTCCCCCCTGCATCTATATGAACTGTCTTAAGGCCAGAAGCCCAAGGAAAGCTCAAGGCAAATTTGAAAGCCCAAACCCAAAATGAAATTGCAGATGAGAATCAGACTCACCTGTGCGAGCCCCATTCCGAACGCGAACTTGGCCAATGCTCGCAGTCGCTCGATGCTCAGCTCGAGTCCCATCTCAAAGAGCAGGAAGAGGATCCCAAGTTCCGCTAACCGCTCAATATCCTCCACGTTGCGGAACCATCCTAAGTGGTTCAGAACCACTCCTGCCCCCAGAAACCCGATCACCGGGCTAACTTTGATTGACTTAAACGCGGGGATAATCATGACTGTCGCCGCGAGGAATGTGAGTGTGTCTAACCCCAGGCTGTTTATCACGTCGATGGTCTGAGCGCAGGTGATGATCCCCTTTCTAGGTTGAGGGTTAGGAAGACCTTTGAGATAACCCGGTTTTAGGCAGCGTTCAGAAAGGGGGGTGAAGTTACCAAGGGGCTGACCCGTCCGAAGACGGGTGCCGGATAGAGGCGTAATGGGGGAGCCACGAAAAGGAGAGCGCAGTGGCAGAGATGGGCTGGCTGATGGGGTTTGGAGGTTTCGACATTGTAGAGAGGCCCGGGCTCTAGTTGAGGGGTGTGATGTCAGCGGCTGCCAACGAGCTGTTGGGCTCTGTGTGACCTGAAGAGACACAGGTATAGACTACTGAGTCATACAGTCCTCAAAGTTCACCGCGGGGCTTGAAGCAAGATCGGGAGTAGGACGGTGTGGCAAACATTAATAGTAAGTCGCTCTACACTGTGAATGTTGCGTTTGCTTTATGACTACCTGTGTCCTCCCTTTTACGGTGTCTCAAACATCGAGTGTCGTCAGTATCCCATGTTGCTGTGATCAACGTAAGTACTTTCAGTTTGAGGACATCCAAAAAGTTGAAACATTGTTTTTTGAAGCATGATGGTCCTCCGCAGGCTTTCCAAAACATAGAGAAAGAATTGACTTTCTTCGCTTTGCCAATTGACTTTTGCACATGGACCATTCTACCTAAGTTTGCAGCGCTGTGTGTCTCTCAAGCAACATGACCACATCTTCGTTTCTGCAACATTTCAGCACAAATTTTCCAAAGACACAATCTACAAGGGGTCAATGGCTTGTCAACGACATTAGCCGCACAGACAGCATCACTCAATGGTGGATTGCACCAGACCGTAATGTCTCAAATTTCTCACCAAATCTCGCTCTAGAGGTCTACTTTGTTGGACCGCTCTTTAGGTCTCAATGTGGCTTCTCTTTCCATGCATCTTGCTCCAAGGGCCTCATTGACGGTTTCAGGATAGATTCACCAGAAGATTGAGAAAAAAAAAAAAGAAACGAAAGAAGAAAAACCAAGAAAGAAAAGATGGCGACCTTCTTTTTTGCAAAGCAAGCACCAGGCAGCCGCACTACAAAATCTCTAAGATTTGAAAAGCAACAACTTCTGGCGACGTGCATTCTTCAGTCGCCGAATCAGATGTGCAGGAGACTCACATTGCTGCACCGCGGACCCTTATTCATGAAATGCTGCCCAAACCTCTGACCGCCCAGGGCATTCATGGTTGCTGATTGCATTGTCTCAGCTTGAGTCGCCAGACACAGCACTGATTTGTCAATCACACCCTGCAAGCCCCAGGTGCGAGCTGCCGCTTCATAAGAAACTTGCTGATGGAGACAGCACCATCGTTAGTGTCCTCAACGGCCGCTTGACAGCTCTTTCACCAGATGGAACCGGCTCTCCGCTGCAAGACACAATTCACAGCACGGATATCAAAGCAGAGTACTCTCAAACCTCAGCTCTGCTTTTGGCCCCTTGATGAAGCCCCTCAGCACTGCGCTTTATGAGCCTGGAGCAACAAGTCTCTGGAATTTCTCCACATTCCTGCACATCTACCTACAAGTAGCTCTTGAGGGGCTCTTGAGCTGGCTACGTACCTTCTCAAAGCCCAGTCTGCGCATCACCTTGGTCTAGATGTCATTAAGTCAGCATTCTCTCTTGTTTGTCCCTGGACTCGGAGGCTGCGTAGAGGAGAATCAGTTCTCGCAGCACGAGCTTCTGAACCATTTTTGCCACCTCAACTGTGTTTAGCGCCGTGAGATGATTTGCAAAAGAAGCGTTGGGTGAACCTTGACCTTCCGATGTATCCACGTGTCATATCCATAAACAGAACAAGAGGAAAAAGTTGCAGCAAAAACTGCTTTTCTGAACTAAACGACCATGCCGGCGACTTTCGAGTCCCCTTCTCCCTCGTCCTGGGTCCCGACTCCCTCTCTCTCTTTGAAGGTCGAGGTTTCAAGACTTGGGCGTAGGAGGACGCTCGACGGAAAGCTGCCAAGGTATCAGGGAACCGTCGTAGTCGAGGGCGTTGCGCCAAAAAATCAAAGGGCGTAGGTGAAGTGAGGAGGACGGAAGCAAGAGTTGCGGCATTGGTTACCGCCGGCGCATTATTGTTTAGGGTTTGATTAGTCTTGGTACTGATTGGGTTGCATCTTGGTGAGAGTGGAGGGGTGCAAGTGCACAGAGCAGTTCTTAGGAAGGGGTGCTGAGGGCTTCTAGAAATGGCCTCGGCTCTTCTGACCAGGTCCTCGGGGTGCACTTTGGGCCTCTCCCTAAATTACGTCGCAAAGAAGCAGGCAACATGCCTGTCGAGTGCATTGACCGGGTGTCCTTTGCTTTCTCGGAGTTCGTTCAGTGGAAGCAGGCTCGCTGCGCAGAGCTTCCAACAAAGCCGGACAACTTGCTCCACCAAGGCCGTGTTGGCCCCTGGGACGGATACAGAGTTCCTTGCATTTGCAGAGAACATTGCAGCAAAGATCAGGAATGACCCCACCCCGGTCGACTTTGGGCTATCATATGACGACTTCAACCAAGCCCTGGACGAGAATGAGTTTACGTTTGAAGTTGGCGACATTGTAAGTGACTGACCTTTGCTCGGAACTCAGAATCAGTCCATTTGCTTTATGCTGGCTGAGTATCACCGTGACATGCTTGCTTCACTCTTTCTTGGATTGCCGGTTTGTGGAGCTGAGCGATGCCATAGGAGCTCGTTTTCTAGGTTTAATGTGGGCAGTAAGTACAGGCATATGACAGTGTTAGCGTTTGTTGAGAAGAGAATGTAAGGCCTCAGCTAAACAGCCATCGCAACTTATTCTGAGCATGGGCCTGACAGCATGGGTGTCTGGATTGCAAAGCATTTTGGCCAAGAGCAGTCTTTCTGTGTCAAAAATGGGGCCGATAGCAACATGGTAATGGTTTCACCATGTTACCTTCTCGTTCTAGGGTTTCTGAGCATGTTTCCATCAGGGTAGCAATCATTCTGCTCGCTTAAACTGCGCTGTGCACATTGCGAGCTCCTGCTGAAACAGCATATTCACATTTGTCAGCCGGCACAGAAGTAAAAAGGCCTCCGGTCAATGCTGTTGCACCCTGCTCAATAGTTCTATCTTTGGTGACACATTTGGTATTGTGCTTAAATGACCGCAAGCTTGCCGGTGACTTTCTGCTGCTTAGCGTCACTGGACTGCCAGCTTGGATGAATCTTTTCACACAAGGGGGCAGAACATGATGCTAATCATTTTTCAGCTAGCAGGGCACCGGTGCAGATGCAGGGCTTCATGTCTGTTACAAATACCTCACTTGTAGTTAACTGATTTGGGGGTTTGTTTGACTGTCGCCCCAGAGAAATCCGTGGACTGGTCAAACAGATTGCTTGGACTAACAGCTGCACAAGCATTGACGCCGGAGTCCCCCAGCATTTCTGAACTGGCGGAAGTCTTGCTGATATATTAGCCTTCGTTCTTGTCGTTGACCGTTCAGCCTTTCTTCGTCAAGCCGTGAATCCAAGAACTGTCAGTCTTGTCTGCTAGAGTCCTGTCACGAACTGATTCGTCACCCTCAAAGAACCATCATGGCTTGTTGGTCAATCTCGACCACCTTCCGGTATTCTGTTCCTGCTGATCCTTCTCAACTTCTTTCAGAGCCTTGTGGCACGTCTGAATTGTTTGACGGACGCCATCTTTTGTTCGTAGGAAACAAGTTCTTTGCTGACTTACTCAATTGTGAAAGCAGCAAACACTCATGCATCTTCCTTTGAATCTGCAGGTCCGTGGAAAGGTATACGCCACCGACAGGGACGGCGTCTACGTCGACATCGGCGCCAAGTCGACTGCCATCTGCCCCATCTCAGAGTGCAGCATCTACAAAATTGACCACCCCGAGGAGGCCGGCATTGAGCCCGACTCCGAGCAGGACTTCATGATTCTGCGCAACGACAACCCGAATGGCGAGATGGTGCTGAGCATCCGGCGGATCCAGTACGAGCTGGCGTGGGACAAGTGCCGAAAGCTTGCTGCGGAGGACAAGACGGTGACGGGCACGGTGAGTCCATCTAATCCTGACAGTTTGGCTTTTTCGAGTCAGTTCGGGCCAGTTGCTCGAAATGGAAGTGTTGAAGGGACTCTGGTCCTACAGACTTGAAGGGCTCTTGTGTACTGAAGGAGACAGATGCTTGCAGGTTGATGTGCTCGGAACCAGCTGTCTTGGTAGTGCCATATGTGACACTGGGTATGAGGTTGGATGGCATGAGGGAATCAAAGAAGCCCTTGAGGTAGAGTGATTGATTTCGTAGTCAGACAGCTGCCTGGATGCTGTGATGCTTCATTTTCACTGGCCTTCTTGCCTTTCAACCTCTCTCCAAGACCATCAAGGAAGAACCTGACAGTTTTTAACACTTCTACGCAATCCTGTTTGCCCCACTACTTTGCAGCAGTGGCCTGACCACACACTGTGTGTGTGCTGCAGGTTGTCCAAGAGAACCGGGGGGGTATCCTTGTGTTGGTCGAGGGGCTGCGTGGCTTCGTTCCCCTGTCACATGTTGCTACTGTAAGCCACCTTTCCTTCTAACCTTACTTCCAACCTGCTGCAAGCCCTCCAGCAATCTTGTGGTCATCTGATATGTCTGCATATCGACCTGGACAGCACTGTCAGTGCTTGCGACCCCTTTAGACTTCGACGGACCTGGCAGGCTCAGCGCCACTGATTGGTTACCCTCTGAACATTCACAACTCTTTTCTGATTGGAGTATCTTGCTGATCTGGACTGCGACAGAAGGAATAGTCTGTGAGTTCCCTTCTGCTGATTTGATAAAGTGCTCGCTGTTCATGGCCTTTCGTCTTTTGGAGTGTGCAAAAGCGCTCGCCGTTCACGGTTCTCGAGTCTTTCGGAGTGGCCTTGCACACTCCTGACAGTCGTGATCAGTGCCGCCCGAAAAGCGTGTCAGGATCATGCAGCACAAGAATTCAAGACAGAAGTCAACATCCTCAGCCCCATCAGATTACTGAGGCCCGTCGTTCTCGTTTGCAGAACATCCCGCGTGAGCAGCTCCTTGGCGTGGAACTGCCCCTCAAGTTCCTGGAAGTCGACGAGGAGAATTTGCGCCTGGTTATGAGCAACCGGAAGGCTGCCGCCAAGTCCCAGATGTCGTCCTTCGGCGTTGGCGATGTCGTCATTGGAACGGTCCAGGCTGTGAAGCCGTACGGAGCGTTCATTGACGTTGGCGGAATCAACGGGCTGCTGCATATCAGCCAAATCAGTCACGATAGGATCACGAACGTGGAGACGGTGCTTTCAGAGGGGGACAAGATCAAGGTGAGCGTCGTCTCCCCTGAATGTCGTGAACTCAAAGTGTGCTATGTTTCCTTGAGGAGAGCATGAAATTTTGTGGGTCGTTTTTGTCTGGTAACTCATGGACGTTTGTGTCAATATCGGGTGTCTTTGCAAGGTCAACTTCGATGCGCTTCTTGCATCCGATCCGTCCTTTTTCTGCTTTATCGTCGTCGCTTTCTGTTTGTTTTCGGCTCCGTTCTGTGCTTCCGTTGTAGTTTCGCTGCAATGGATAAAGACGAGTCGGGTGTCTTGCTGGCATTCTGCTTGCATATGTTGATAACTCAAAAAAATTGGAAAGCAGTCTCGTTTCACGGGGGTGTCATTTGTCAGTTTAAAATCAGTATCTGAGCGTCCTCCGTTGGTGCCCTCGCAGGTGATGATCTTGAGCCAAGACTCCGACCGTGGCCGCATCAGCCTGTCTACGAAAAAGCTGGAGCCGACTCCGGGTGACATGCTGAGGAACCCTCAGCTGGTGTTTGACAAGGTGCGTCTTCAGACTCTTCCTTTTTGCCACGGCCAGCTGCGGCCGCTTGTTTATTATAATGGTCAAATGTTTCACAAAACCGCAGAAGGATTGAGTGATCAATTGATTGGTTGATTGCCTTTGATAGTGCACGGGCTGTTAGATAAGTCAACACTGAGTAGCCTCGCCTGAGGCAGGAAGCTTGGTTGTGGTCGCTTTTCTGTGCTTCATTGTCGCGGCAAAGCGGGTCTGTTGAAGCGTCACACTTGCGAAGTGAAGAAAGGTTGCTCAGTTGCTTGCAAGATGTCGTAAGGAGTCCGTCAGTCATTACTTCCGTTTGGCATCTGTTGTGGAACAAGGTTGCGCAGCAGCAAACTGCAGTCATTCGAGCAGTTGTATGGTTGAGCCCACAATTCCCACTTTACAGTGCTGGTGTCAATAAGATTTTCCAGCAATAAGCAACTCGAACGGAGTACCAGTATTGACAGCGACAATTCAAGGCACTTGCTGACTGGCGCTTTTTCTGCGCAGGCTGACGAGATGGCGAAGACTTTCAAGGAGCGGGTGGCAGCCGCAGAGGCTGCAGCACGGGCGGAAGAGAACCGGTTGAGGGCAGAGGTACGTTGCTCCAACCAGTAGAAAGGCGCTTTCCACGAGCTTCTTTGCAAGATCCTTTCTTGCCCACATGGATAGCGTTTTTGAAATCCTGCCTCATGAAGCGAGGACAATTTCCTTGCCTGTCCTTGTGGTCTGGTAGATCGATTCGAGCACTGTTTCCAAAAATATGACGCCTGACGTCTTGTGTGTTTTTCGTCTGCAGGGCTTCTCCACAGGGCCTTTCTCGGGGGTGGAGGAACTGGGGGACTTCTTGGAGGATGAACCTGCAGCAACATCATCATAGGTGATGGTTGTCGGAAGAGAGTTGGGGGCGTTCTAAACAGCAAACGAACTCTGATATGAAGTTTTGTGATCAGGAACAGGCTGAAGAGTATGGAAAGCCATGAGTGCAGTGGAGGGTATTCTCTGTTGGCGCAAAGTATTGATCTTTAATGAAATACAAACCCGAAGGACAAGTTGGCCTCACCATTCGTACGGCTTCACTTTCTAATATAATGCGCATTATGCTATGCCAGCGTGAGGGCCCTGCATGGTCGTAATGGTCGTCCTAAGACTCCCAGCTGAAAGTCCGGTGTTGAGGTCAGGCGATCTCATGTAGGTCCGATCGACTGCGGATTAAGTGACTACAATTGGGCATTCTTGAATTCCATGTCAATCACATGCATGTGCATGTCGGACTCTGATCATGACATATGGCCGTGACGCCAGTATTGCGCTTGCGTTTCGGCCAGCATGATATGTAATATATACCGCCGCGTCTCTTTCTTGCATACGCGCCGCGGCGCAAAGCTGGCCTGCATGTATAAGTGCTAGAGTTAGCTAGCAAGTTCGATTTCCGATCTAGGATCGGCGAACTAGTCGGAACCCTTATTATATTGCCAGTTGAGTCCAATTGATCAACCGCAAATACACGCAGTGCACTGTGCAGCTACCGTCCTTCCAATTAGCTCTGTATTTCAATGCACGTTGTATTAACCGGCCTCGATCCATTCCCAACCCGGATCCTTAAGCTAGATCGCGACTGGAAACCCGAGTAGACCCGGATATATCGAATTAGGAAGTTAGGCTAGCCTGGCGCGGCTGAGTACCAAAGTTCCTTGATTATGATTCAATGAATGCATGGGATCGTTTGATCTGAACTCCAATCAGAGCACACGTTTCTGAGTTGCAAGCCTGAGGTTGACACTGATGATCCGAGTAACTCAGCATCGGGATAAAAAGGATCTAGAATGCATCGAAGGTTCAGAAGGTCAATACACTGAGTAGCTCATGCAAGCCGTGAGATACAGGCTACGTTGTAGACGTTGCACTAAAGAACTGGTCGCGGACAGCTGAGCATACTGGACCATATATCAAAGGCTACTTGTACACCTCGTCGTCTTTGTCAGGCAAAGGGGCTCTACCGCTTTAATAGCGCTGCACAGAACAAAACCAAAAAATACTTTGTCGTTAAATGAGTTGCAATTCTCCTTGATGTCTTCCTGTGCCATCCAAACGAGCCGAAAGGGAAAACTCAGCAACTCTTTCCTCGATAAGTTAAAAGAGTTGCCGTTCTCCGAGGTCGAAATATTGAAGCACGCTAGAACTTGCAAACTGTGGGGATCAATCATCAATCACCTTGTAATCATAGCTGAACCTCGCAACTTGGGAACTGGTTACTTGAGCATGCTCGCAACATAGTACGCCGGTCGTTTTACCTTTAGAACCTTCCACGCCGCCGCACTGACCTCAGGATCAGGGTCCTTGGTCTTCTCCAAAAGAATTCGTGCGCGCTCGGTTTTAGTCTCGTCTTCGGATGCAATCAAATTCCAGCTTAAGTCGGCCAACGAACGCATCTGCGGAGAATGTTACAATCTTTCACCCGCGCTTTTGACGTTCATTGAAAGACGGATCACGTGACCCAAGCTGACAGCGGTCAATTTTAAGGAAGTCAAGAATAGACCTGGCCGAATCGAACCATCAAATTTGAGAAAGTAGATCACGGAGGAGAAACATGCTACTCTAGGCAGATAAGGTACATTCGACCAGCTTTTAGGTGCTCAACATGGAGGAAGCGGCCCGGTTTCGAAGCACTTCAATTCGCGTGTCGACCTCCGTGACAGAGATAACTTGAATGGGAAGGGATGATCAACTTGAGGGGGAGGGCGGCAGAGGGACTGTGCCGATTAGAAGAGGCAGATTCTCTTAACGGAGATAATGCAAACTCCTACTGATAACGTGGTCGCTCAATACAAGCCTTGATCTAGAACTGTGTCTCCGTCAAGCCGCAAATCTTTGAGCAGAGTCTGTGTCCGGAGGAGCTTACGTGCTCGAGCCGCAACTCTGGACGAGGCTTGCGACGCTGCTCCGACCGCAACTCCTCTTCGCGCAATGCCTCCTGTATATATGCAAGTAATCTGAATGTGGTAGACCATTCTGGGGAGTGTTCAAGCACCTCAATGAACGTTTTGAAGGTAGCGTAGACCAAGGTCGGGCCATTTCCACGTGAAGATAGCACCGAATCGAGTTCTGTTCCAGGCTTGCAACATTAAGGTCAAGAGAGTTTGAGCATTTGAGATCAAAAATGAGCAACCAAGAGCAGTATTGCAGACGAGTTTCTTTGTCTGTATGCAAAAGGCTTAACCTTGGGCCCCCAGCACGGCTCGGGTATTGTTCAAGCTACAGGAGTGCTTCCAGGTTACAAGACTATTTCTCGTTGAAATCCTCACGAAGAACAATGCAGAGACTTCAAAGCGTTCGCGGATTTCCACACCTTGAACCTCTCCCTCTCATAAGGTGACCGACCTTCCCTTCCTGCGGAAGCCCGCACCAGCCAGCTTCTCCGATTTATCTGTTGTAATGCATAAAACTGATTACCATTTGTAGGAACCAAATGTTTTGTCAGGTGGCTCTTTGCGACGGCCGATTGCTTTGGCTGACGTAAGCTCATCTGTCGAGGGCAAAGAAAACACACCCCTTTCATTGAAGACCGGAAGGTCTGATTTTAATTTTCTAGATTCGTAGTAGAGACAATATCTGCTAGTAAAGTGTTCAGAAGGAGCCAGATCGGTAAAAGCCTTGCTTCGTTTCTGTTTGCAAACATAGACAGCTTCAATTTGCGAGCAGTACGGATGGTCGCAAGGATATGTCGCATGTTTAAACACAGCAGAAGCAGGGATGTTCTTGTTCAGATGCTCCTTAAAAATGGAACAATAGTGCACAGGTTCTGAACCCGACACGTTTGATTGTGGAAGCTACACACGAAGAGCCACGAGGACAGATCAGACAAGCCTCTGCATACGAGACGCTGAAAGAGTCGTCACTTCCTTTAAATTTGTGTGAACCGTCTGGGTCAAGCTTGGCGTATGCCTGCAAGAATCTTGATCTGAGGGAGAGAGTTGTAAAAATGAGAAGAACGCCGCACAGGCAGCTAAGTGTCTGAGTCAGGGACATCAGCCGCACGACAAATAACCTGGAGCAAGAACAGGCTTAGCGGTGTAAACACTGCAATAAATAAAACCCGCTGGGATGCTAACTTGCCGGTTTCCTGAGTGGAAGATCGTAGCACAGACAACTGATCAGTTGATTAGAAAAGCAGCTTATGTTGGGTACTCACAACGTTTCTATGTTCCCCAATCCGGCAAGAAGAATCGAACCTGTTGATCCGGACCCCATCCGATGGAGATAGGACGTGTACTCCATCCTTCGAAGCAGAGATGAAGCTGGGCTGAAAACGAGCTACTGCTGAGTTTGTCATTGTTCCACCTCTGCACTGATCCGTGGAGAGGCCGTTCACCTTGGGGACGAGCAAAGCTGCAGTCTGCAACCTCCTGGGCAGCTTAGGCCCTCAGCAGCTAGGAGGGACTTGGATCTCCGAAGCGAAAGCTCGAAATCGCTGCCGACAGAGTCTGGAATAACTCGGGGTGGCAATACGTTGACATGTATGGCAACAGGCAAAACGATAGCTGATGTTTTATATACACGAGCAACCTGGCTGTGATCAGCTTGCCGTGAATGTCTAGCGCATGCCTTTCTAACTAACAGATCTTTTTGGACCAGACAAGTATTGCTTGCGAGCAGGAGAAACTTGGATTGCAGCTGCTCTTCTTTTAGCCTTTTCAGGCTTGCAGCTGCCAGTACTTGTTGCTGTTTATGGCGGACTTGCAAGCGCACGCCAAGCGCGGGCACGTACAACTGAAGCAGCGCGCGCCGTTGAAAGGAAAACTGCCGACCTGCTTTGCAGAGTAGAATTGCGGTTGTTGCAAATGGCTGAAAAGCCTAAACCAGGCAGGGCTGCCGGACCGAGCCGCGCGTTCCGAACAGAGGCTGAGCAGTACGTACGTCCGCTTGCGCGCCAGATCGTGCACAGCGCGCCGCCGCGCCAGTCGATTAAAGTCCGAGCTTGTCCCGGGGGTTTTATACGAGATTTGGAGATTTGGGGTTGCGCGGCCGCCGCACAGCTGGTCCAATCGACAGCAGCCGCGCGAGTTTGCGGGGACAGTGTGAAAAGTCGCTTTGCAGTGCCGCTTATATGCAATGACTTCGCCTCTTCTCGGTAGACGGATTTTGATTGTCACAGTCACAACGGCACAAACCGGCAAAACAGCGCGAAGAACCGTTCATGAACGTTGAGCTGAACTTAATTACACCGCTTGTTTGAGAGATGTTGATCATCCGCTGTGGAGAGCTCAAATCAACTGCATCAGAAGTGCTCCTTGGCCTTGTGCTTCAATATGGTGGCAATTCTGCAACTTTTGGCAATTCTAGAAAGGTGTGGGACCTTTTATCCCATTTGACCATACCTCTGGTTCTATCTTCGGTCTGTGGTTTGAAGGATTAGCTTCGACCGGCGGTGGCTGGCGCCAGGGTTCACGCACTTTGTGCAGAACCTGAGGTGTAGAAAAGGACGCATGTTCGGCCTGCTCTGTGAGGACAATGGATACAAAGGACGATGTCAAGCCCGCAGCAGGGACCACCGGTCGTCCCGATGTGGACCGAGCGGCAGGGTATACCACCGGCCAGGTAAGCATCAATTGAATCAATCACATCCTCATGGAGTTTTCAAATTGTGGACATCACGAGTCTTGCCCTGTACGCCCACCTCACATAAGTGGGGATAGTTCAACCAAAGGACAGTAAGCTTTCGATGATATGGTGGTGCAGTGTCGCTGGTTATGACCCTCGTTTGGGTTCTCAAAAAAATTCTAGAGGAGCACTCAAGAGACAGCATTGCAAGCCACACCTGTTGTAACAAACTGCTTGGATTGGAAACCCTTGACTTGAACACACGAGCAGCAATTTTGCTGCAGAAACCTTCTTTCAGGAAGCTCCACCGTTACCATGCGTCGCACCGTGCTCCTATGGCATAATTCATGCGGAATCCCGCACTTGGTGCTGTCACACACAGGCGAATAGCTGATTGCAACAGGTACAGTCAATTTTTCCTTGTGCCCCTTTTCGTCTCTCAGGACTCCATCCACGAACAACTCTTCCTCTTGCAGCTTGATACTGGCACACGTCCCTCAACTTCGGGCCGCCCCCCCCTCCCTTCTGGGGGTTCAGGTCGCAGGGCCCCAAACCTGGCTCGCGCTCGGCCCCCCAAAGCAGAAGAAAAAGTCAAACCAGACCCTGGACGGGTTCCCGAATCAGCCGCAGCCGCTGCGGGCGGGGTGCACCCTGGGAAAGTGATAGATGGATCTGAGGACAGCAAAGCGGACGTCAAGAGTGGTGTGGATGCCAAGTTGGCGGCCCAAGACGTGCGGGCAGCTTCGGACAAGGAGCTGGAGAGAGTGCTATACGATCCGCAGAAGCTGACGCAGCCAATTAAGAGCGCAGTGGACAAGTTCGAGCTGCTGCCGGCCTTTCTCAAGGTGAGAGAAGCCATGGTGATTTGCGAGCTTGTGGATTCTGCTCATGGGTTTCTCCAAAATTTGTTGGATTAGCAGTTTCAGACCCTGTGTTGAAAGACCGTCAGAATGTTGAATGCGCGTGCGGTGCCTTGCAAAATGCTAGTAGAACCTCTGTAGGCTGTCTTGTCCAGTTCGCTATGCAATCGGATCCAGCTATGGAATTGATTGGGTGTGACACAGATTGCAGGGCCATTCTGATTCACCTTCTGATCCTACAAGGTAGTCAGCTTCAATGCTGGCCACATCTTATGTACTGGACCGCTGGAAGAGCTGGTTGATCTGCAGCATTGAGCTGTCGTGCAACCTCGAAGGCGTCTTGCACACACAGATCATGTGAAAGGATTGGAGAGGGAGGTAAGGAGCACCCAACGATAAAGAGGAACGAAAGAGCACGAAGTTGACTGAAAGGAATCTGCACCAAATTTGAAAGTGACTGGCCCTGCTTGCAGGTTCGCGGTCTGGTGAAGCAGCACATTGACTCGTTCAACTACCTGATCAACTGCGAGCTCAAGAACATCATCCGCGCCAAGGCCAACGTCAAAGTCACCTGCGACACCGACCCCAACTTCTTCCTGCGCTACACCGACATCTATGTCGGGAAGCCCTGCATCGAAGTGGACCTCATCCAAGTAAGTCCAGTGCTTTCGTCATGAGACTCGTGCGTTCTGCGCCTGCTTCACGGTCTAGATATATTGTTAGTGGTTCTGACAGATGCCAGTTCCTTGTCTTTCGTTCTTTTGTGCTCCATTGATTGCTGCCCTGGCCCCTGCTGACCCCATTGGTGTTTTGATAAGGTCACGACTTGTCAAAAGTATTTATTTGCCATTCCCGAACATTCTTATAGAAGCGTACACAACTTTCTGCTCGTCTCCTGCTGCCTTACGTGGATTAGGTTGGTAGTAGAAATCGACGCAAGACAGTCTATGAAGCTTTCTTGTGTCTGAAGACGCAACGTCAGGTACATATGTTGTGGGTAAGGATCAGGATGCGTCGACCCGAAAACTGGTGTGATCCCTATCAACGTATTTGTACGAAACTCCCCCTGCCTTCCGGCTGTCGATCCTTCTGAACCGAATAACTTTTCTTGCCGGACCACATCAAGGATAGACTGAGTTCTTCGCATTTCTGTGTATCCTTATGACAGCAGCACGCGACAGTTTTTCCTGTAGATCCTGAGAACCTTGACACCCCGATATTCTAAAATCTGAAACCTGCAACGTCCGCAGGAGGGCATCACTCCTCAGAAGTGCCGGCTGCGCGACATGACGTACGCTGCGCCCATCAGCGTGGATGTCGAGTACACACGTGGGAAGGAACTAGTGGTGCGGAAAGGGAAGGGCGGGCAGGGCGCGATTGTGATCGGGAGGATGCCACTTATGCTGAGGAGCAGCCGATGCGTGCTGAAGGACAAAAACGAGGAGGAGCTGGCGGAACTAGGTGAGGGCCAGGTCAACGGAGGGTGCTTTAAGTAGAGTGGTTTGTTCTTCTGCGAGGCAAACATTTAACGGCAGAGAGTGGGTTCGTAACGGCTAATGAAGTCGGAAATTGCCTCGAGCGTGCTGTCTCGCCAGGTGTAACCAAGAAGGCAAGACGCCGATCAAGCGGACATAAAGACTGATTGTGAGAAGAGATTGATGATGACGCAAAAGTCACACTTTCCGTGGTCCAAGGGACTGACAAGTATGAGGTCTTGGGAGCTGCTTTGGCTTGTCTTACACAGACTAGCGAACGGTTGTGCTTCAGATCTGACTAGCAGGGGGAACTGTGTCGATTGCCCTTTCCTCTGGAAAAGCTTTCATCTTTGTTTCTTCGTCAGCGTTCTCAGGCACACCAACTCCCAAGAAGGGTTCCTTCTCTCAAAAAGGCCGTCAAATAACCGGTCCTTCTTAGCGACAGCCAAAGCTCAGCTAAGGCTTCGCGCTTGGTTCCTCAAGAATCATGTTGGTGCAAGTTTGCAGCGACACTTGGTCCAATTTACGGGCTGTGTGTTACCAAAGAGCCACGTGAGAAAAGAGCCACGTGAGAAAACGCTTTCTCAAGCCATGTCCTATTGAACTTTCCAGGGGAGTGTCCGCTGGACCCCGGTGGATACTTCGTGGTACGTGGTACAGAGAAGGTAATTCTGATCCAGGAGCAGCTGTCCAAGAATCGCATCATCATCGATACGGACAACAACGGCAACGTCATGGCCAGCGTCACGAGCAGCACGCACGAGCGCAAGAGCAAGACCAACATCATCGTCAAAAATACCAGGATCTTCCTGCGGCACAACACGTTCGGGGACGAGGTAAGCGGCACATTCTGAACCAAGCTCAGAACCTTTTCCAAAGGTCTTAATCAAGGGAGTCCGATGGGTCCGTTTAGTCGGCAGAGGGTTATGCTGGCCGGCTGGAGACACGCTTATAGTCCGCTTTACAAAATGATTTTAGAAAGCTCACTGCCGGAAGGCTGTCCTTCCCTGGTTGGAATGGAAGAAAGCCGACAATACGAAGTCGATCTTTTTGCGGTTGCAGACCCCAACATTGATGTAGAATATACTTCGACTTGGTTTGACACCTCCCAAGCTGATTTTGCTCCGGTGCCCTTTCCGCTCTCAGGTCCCGATCGTGGTCGTTCTGAAAGCGATGGGCATGGCGAGCGACCAGGAGATTGTGCAGATGGTGGGAATGGACCCCGTCTACGCGGATCTGCTGGCGCCCTCCATTCAGGAGTGCGCTGCTCTGGGCATATTCACACAGCAGCAGGCGCTCGAGTACTGCGGGGCCAAGGTCAAGACGGGGCGCCAGATGTGGGTCAAGACGAAGCGGCACAAGGTGAGCGGTTCAAATGACTTTGACAACCGCTCCTGTCATCTGTTACACTTGTTCCGGATTTCTGGGTCTGAGGATCCACCCGAGCTTCTGTGGGGTTCTGATCATGACCGAAAAGCTCTTTCATTGTTCACTTTGTTTGTATCTCGAGCCCGTGGCCATGTCACGTCTTCCAGTGAGTATCGTCAAAATTGGTGGAACGAGACTTACAAGCAGACCTGCTTGGCAAGCAGGCCTGCGTTTACCTTTCAAACGACGCAGTCAGTCGATGCAGATTCAAAACTTGAAACATCAGAAAAACTCCGGAGTGTCGTGTCATGTTCCTTTGCGGTGCTGCTTACAGTCTCATCATAGCATTGTCTCTTAAGAAGCACAGATCTCACTACTGCTCTCAAGAAACATTTCGTACTCCGTTTTCAATCCCCAAAAGCTGCACTTCCTGCATTTCTTCGTCCTGTACTGTTCCGTTCTGTTCGACTTGCGCAGTTTAGTCACGGTTTATGTCGATTACCGCTCCTCTTGAGAGGAGTGGCCCCCCACTTTCCGCAACACAACCCTGAACTTGTGCATTCCGTTTCCGTTTCGTTCCGTCAGGTGGAGGATTTGCGCGACATCCTGGCAAACGTGGCCCTGGCGCATGTGCCCGGCTACCGGGTTCGACCTGCTGCAGTCCAATCGCAAGAATATCTACGAAATTAATAATAAGTCTTGCTTTCTCGCAAGGAGTGGGCCCCAATCTTTCAGCATCAAATAACCCCAAACATACGCATTCCGTTTCCGTTCCGTTCCGCCAGGTGGACGAGGCCCGCGACATCCTTTCAAACGTGGTGCTCGCCCACGTGCCGGTGAACCGGTTCGACTTCAAGGGCAAGTGCATCTACATCGGTGTCATGATCCGGCGCATGCTGGAGGCGATTCTGAACAAGGACGCCGTCGATGACAAGGACTACTACGGCAACAAGCGGCTGGAGCTTGCCGGACAGCTGCTTTCCCTGCTGTTCGAGGTGAGTTCTGACCGAAGAATCTGCTCACCGGTTCTTAAAATTAGGAACGTAGGCTCTTACCAAGATGACATTGTCGCGTGTTGCCCTTTCAGCGGCCTTCTGACGGGGTCTTGTTCTCTTTTCAGCGTACTTCTGACGGGATCTTGGTAGATTACCTGGGTTGGTATCCCTGCGCTCTGAAGTTAACCCGTCGGTGTATTGCTTTGGTCACAAAGTTGTCTGCAAAGAGCCTTTTATCTCGACTCATCTACTCTGTATTCAAAATCATTTCAGTTGCGGTGGAAAGACGTCGCCGACGAACTCAGGATCTGACGACAAGACCATCAGGTTCCATCGATTGAGCGGAAGAGAACGCAGACAAGCAAGCCCCTTGACTTTCTCAAATGCAGGACCTGTTCAAGCGCATGAACAGCGACCTGCGCAAGGAGACGGATAAGGCGCTGTCCAAGGCCAACCGGTCGACGCTCTTCGACGTCGTCAAGTGCATAAAGCCGGACACGATCACTAAAGGCCTGGAGCACGCGATCTCGAGCGGCAACTGGACCGTCAAGCGGTTCCGTATGGACAGGAAGGGAGTCACGCAGGTGAGAGACGTAAAGGTTGACATTCGTGAATATACAACATTGGTAGGGGATATAGAACATTGGTATTGGATCTATGTTTGGGCGAGCGTTGTGTGGATTCTTCAAGGCTGCCGCTCTTTCGTATGTACCACCTATGTTTCAATGTGGGATATTGGGACTCGCGGAGCAAGCACTTCATCGTCAAGCGTGCTTCGAAGCATCAGCATAGTTTCGACTTTGCGGACTTTCATTCGGCAGGTTTTGCGAGTCCTTTGAGCCAAACTCGCTGCACTTGCGACCTGACCTCTGATCCTCATTGTCAATGGTTGAATTGTGGCCAAACGGAGGTTCTGGGATTATATGCAGGTGCTGTCCCGGCTGTCCTTCATCGCGGCCCTGGGCCACATGACGAGGATCACGTCCCAGTTTGAAAAGACGCGGAAAGTCAGCGGACCCCGCGCTCTGCAACCCAGCCAGGTGAGCGAGTGTTTCGCAGAAAGGCGGCTACTGTTTTTTTGTCCAGTCAATATGTGTCAGATTGGCTGTGCACTTTTCCGAATGATCGCCTTTCGTCAGAATTCCTAAAGGATTAAGATTCTGCAGGGAGAGTTGTGAGCTTGCCTAGTGTCGTCCCTTGCTTTGTCTCTTGCCAGACCCCAGGACGTCGCACCTTAAATGTCCTCATCGAAGTCAAGTAAAGTCAGTAAGTGTCTGCTTACCGCGCTTGAGCTCTTCTGTTGCCCTCCCGCTTCTCTTGCTGTGCTTCAGGACGGTCCCTCGATCGCCCTCTTTCGAAAGGTATTTGCTCCGCGTTGCTCGATCGGTTCGTAAGTTTCAAAGTGTTTTGTACTCTCTGACCTGCTAACGTTTTCTATTTCCAGTGGGGCATGCTTTGTCCGTCCGACACTCCCGAAGGCGAGGCGTGCGGCCTGGTGAAGAACCTGGCGCTCATGACGCACGTGACCACCGACGAAGAGGAAGGACCCATCGTTAGGCTGGTAAGACGATTCCGCTTTTCCTTGACCTTTTTGGACGCCTGCAAAGGTCACTTTGAGAAATTGACTGCTCGCAAAATGTTAAGGATCTGGGATGAAAGCGCGGAGTAGCGTTCATGGAAAACCTCACGAAAGGTCCAATCTAACACATAAGCCGCACTCGAGGGTTGCGGTGTTTGCTCGCTTCTCCTAAGCCCTGTGTTGAGTCGTCATATTCAACTCTGTAACTGTTTCATATCAGCGGATGAACTGGGAAAATATCCAATTTTCTTTATATTCCGTGATGCCCGCAACGCACTCCATTTGCGACGTTCTTCAATCAACTCGAAGTTTCGCCCCCTATTGACGGCAGGCCTCCTTTCATTCAAGACCCCGCAGCTTTACAACCCGGCTTTGGAGATGTTCACGACAGGCTTCAGCGGTGGGCCTGGAAGGGCTGATGACACAACAATACCCGCATCTGTTGACCAGCATTCTGACCCGGCCCCTTTCTTGCGATGGCAGGCTTCAACGCTGGGGGTGGAAGAGCTGGCGCTGCTGTCCGGCGCGGAGCTCCACGCGCCCAGCAGCTACCTCGTCTTCCTCAACGGAAGCATCTTAGGTGTACATAGAAAACCGCACAAGCTCGCAGGTAAGACGCCTCCGCTAAGAAAGGCAAAAAAGGTATCGGTGGACCTTCTTGAAAGTGTACGTTGTATTCAGCCTCGCATAGCAACTGCATTCGTCCCTGGTGTAATGCAGTTTCTCAAAGCTTTGAAAGCGAATGAGAATTCCCCTTGATGCCAGGCCCTTCTTGCTCAAGCTGATAGTACATGAAGTCCCATATGACTGCTTTCCTATTTAGGTCCCTCCAAATCCCTTCAAATCCGGAACGGAACATGCAATATTTCACCCTCTCGTGATAGCTCCGAGATCCGGTTCGCACGTTGTAAAGTAACCCCTGACAATCTCGGGAAAGACTATTACAGCCTTTACTCCCCCTCCCCAGATGCCATTCGGAGGCTCCGGCGTGCGGGTAGAGTAGGAGAGTTCGTGTCCGTCCATGTACATACCGGACAGAAGTGCGTCTACATCGCGTCGGACGGCGGCCGCGTGTGCCGCCCGCTCGTGATTGCGGACAAGGGGGTTTCGCGCGTCAAGGCGCACCATATGGAGGAGTTACGGGAGGGGTATCGCACGTTTGACGACTTTTTGAGGGAGGGGCTGGTGGAGTATCTCGACGTGAACGAGGAGAATAACAGTCTGGTGAGTTGTTCTGGGGTTTCGGATTAGGCAGTCTGGGCAGATTCTTTTCTAAACCGTATGGAGGAATTTCGGGAGGGGTACCGCATGTTTTACGACTTTCTGAGGGAGGGGCTGGTGGAGTATCTCGACGTGAACAAGGAGCTGATGTCCGTTGAGTCATTTTCTCATCGCACGAGTTCTCAGTCTTGCTGCCTGGGCGGTGAAGGCTTTCTGTCTTTTTACATCTTTATGGAAGGGCTATTATGCGGCTACCAAACATGGTCAGAGAAGGTCCAAGTTGGACAGCGGAGTGTGAATTAGAATGTGGAGATGGGGCCATGCTTTCTAGACGGCTTTCTAGACGATACTGGGCTTTAAGAGCGGGGAGAGTGGTTCTGCTTTTACTGACGCTCGACCAACGCCCCCTTTTTGCATCTGCGCAGATTGCCATGTACGAATGCGACGCCGGCCCAGACAACACCCACATCGAGATCGAGCCGTTCACAATCCTGGGGGTCTGCGCCGGGCTGATTCCATACCCCCACCACAACCAGTCTCCGCGAAACACGTACCAGTGCGCTATGGGCAAGCAGGCGATGGGCAACATAGCGTATAACCAGCTGTACCGGATGGATACGCTATTGTACCTCCTGGTATACCCGCAGAGGCCGTTGCTGACCACCAAGACGATCGGCCTGGTAAGGCGCAGACAACAGGTTGCGCTTGCATCTACTTATCCGGCTTTCGCATCCCCGTTCCGAGGGCATCGCTGCCTGGCTTTGCAAGAAGTTTGTTTCATTTTAGGCGGCCACGAAGGTGCATCAAGAACTGTCTGATCCTCAAAGCGGACCCAATCGACCAAGCGTTTTGGCTGTGTCATCTCTTGGGACCATCCTCGAACAGATTATTGCAAGCGATAATCGAGCTGTTAAGCTTCGCAGACCCACTTCAAGGTATCAAGAATATGTGATTGAGTCAAGATGATATCTGGAAAGGAATACATTCCAACGCAAGGGAAGCGCTGAAGAAATCCAGTGCATGCGGTTCGATGCTTAAAGAGCGCCTCAATCGCTTTCGGCAGCCCCGATCCTTAACCCGTCCACAGAGAAGCCTCGACAGAGCCGGTGAATGCCAGGATGTCACGTCGGCTGCTGGTGTCATGCACTGAGCTGATCATCTGAAAGTGACGATCTTGGAAAAACAAGCCGATCCGCACCCCTCCGTGCAATTGGCCTTGACAGATCAGTGGGTTATTACAGTTAGCTTCAGTCTCTCAACAGGGCTTTGCTCACCTTTTTCCGCAGATTGGCTTCGACAAGCTAGGTGCGGGGCAGAACGCCACCGTGGCCGTCATGAGCTACAGCGGGTACGACATCGAAGACGCGATCGTGATGAACAAGGCGTCCCTCGACCGCGGGTTCGGCCGGTGCATCGTCATCCGCCGCTATGCAACGTCCCTCCGAAAATACGCGAACCGCACGCAGGATCGGATCGTCGCGCCCCCGGGGGGATCCCTCGGCGCGAGCCAACGGTACGCGCTGCTCGACGCCGACGGGATCGCGGCGGCCGGAGAAATGATTCGCCCGGGTGACGTGTACGTGAATAAGCAGAGCCCGAAGAACACGCGCGAGATGGACGTGCCGAACCCCGCCAACCTGCCGGACAGGTAAGGACCGCCGTCCGAAAGCGTCCGAATTGCCTGGTCACTTTGTCTGCATCTCCGATATGTTTCCTCGTGACTTGAGTTGTATGTGACCGCTCAAGAGTGGGTCCACCTTGTGTACGCAACGCTTCGGCCAATATCGGAACGAGCCTCGACTCTCCAAAAGCGTCTGCAAAGTGGTTCTCTGTATATCAGAGCGCTGTGGTCGAGAGTAGAGGACCCGAAAAGGAATTGCCGATGTTGGACCGGATCATGCGGCGCGTCGTAGATGGTATCCACCTTGAAGGACCTTGAAGGCGCTTCATCGAAGACATCACCGCTGTCTCTACATTTGAACAAGATAGAGAATTCTATCCAGGACCCATTTGAGTACAGGAACTCAGTCTTAAACTGTTCTTTCCTTTGCAGCTTCTTCAAGGCCACCCCCCAAACGTACAAAGGCCCCGCCGGCGAGACCGCTGTCGTGGACAAGGTGCTGATCACCAGCAACGACGAGAACCAGTTCGTCGTCAAGGCCTTAGTTCGCCACACGCGGCGCCCGGAAGTGGGCGACAAGTTTTCGAGCCGGCACGGGCAGAAGGGCGTGTGCGGGACGATCGTGCAACAGGAGGACTTTCCGTTCTCGGAGCGAGGGATCTGCCCCGACCTCATTATGAACCCGCACGGCTTCCCCAGGTCCGTGACCACCTTTTCCTCAGGGAGCTCTTCCAGCTAGTTCTGGATGCTTGGCTCCACTGCTGTCTGTTCGCATCCCCGTTTTGCTTGCGTCCGTGCCTGTGTTTGCACTGCTTTTGTGACGGCAGAAAGTAGGATAAAGGTAGGCAAACAGTAGGCGCGACAGGAGGCGTGCTACAACCCAGTCTCCCGCTTTGCACTTTGCGTGCCTGAGAGGCGTCACAGTTCCTGAGGTTTAGAACGACTTTGAAAGTCTTGACGTTGCTGTCATTCTGGTTCTTACCAGACCGGACAACTGGCTCTGAGCGGCTTTCTTTGTTGTCACATTCCGCGAAGGTCGGATTTTTGTTCGAAGCAAGCTACTTTCAACCTGTCTTCTGGAATCGAAAAGCATAATATGTATTTAAAGAGGGTACAACGCAGTACGCAGGACAATCAACGGAGATTACCAGCTTTTGCAAAGTGGCCGACCTTGAGTAACCCGATTCCCTTGTCCTCTTTCGCAGCCGCATGACTGTCGGCAAAATGATCGAGCTCCTGGGCTCTAAGGCGGGCGTCTGCAGCGGCCGGTTTCACTACGGCACCGCGTTCGGTGAACCGAGCGGTCACGCCGACACCGTCGAAGCGATTAGCGCGACTCTGGTGCAGCACGGGTTTAGTTACAGCGGCAAGGACTTCCTCTACTCGGGGATCAGCGGGGAGCCGCTCCAGGCGTACATATTCATGGGGCCGGTGTATTACCAGAAGCTGAAGCATATGGTGAGGAGTGTTTGGTGGCCTTTTGCTTTTGCTACAAATGGATGCTTCTTCGAAACCTTACGGCGGATGCTTCTTCGGAACGTTACGGCCGAAAAATTCGGTGAGACTGCTTCTTGGAACAATAAAATTAATCGATTGCGTGCTCATCACCTCCTTCTTGTTTGAGAAAACGAAGGCGTGGCAGATTTTGCCGGAAATAGCTGCCAGCTGGCTAGCTGTGCTCCTCAGCTCGCTTCCGTTTATTGATCAGGTCGATCTTGAGCTTTGGCTTTCTTGTCGCTCAGGGTTTGCGGGCCTGCTTCGTCCATTTGGCCAACTTATCAATGCGGAGTTCATATGACCTGAGCCCCCTGGAAATTGAAGTCTCAATCTTACACATCCTTGTACCCCCAGGTTCTCGATAAGATGCACGCGCGCGCAAAGGGCCCCCGTGTCGTCCTCACGAGACAACCGACCGAGGGGCGCAGCCGCGACGGCGGGCTCCGGCTGGGGGAGATGGAGCGCGACTGCCTCATAGCTTATGGGGCGAGCATGATGATCTTGGAGCGGCTTATGATCTCCAGCGATCAGTTCGAGGTGCAAGTGTGCACGAAATGCGGGTTGCTAGGGTACTTCGACAAGAAGCTGAAAGCCGGCTTCTGCTCGTACTGTAAGAATAGCCAGAATATAGCCACGATGAAGCTGCCGTACGCGTGTAAGCTGCTGTTCCAAGAGCTGCAGTCGATGAACATCGTGCCAAGGCTAAACCTGACAGAAGCGTGAAGAAAAGCTATGTCATCGAGTAGCTTCGTATCTGTGTCAAGCACGCGCGGAGGATCTCAGGATTTCAGTTTCTTGATCATCTTGCTCTATATTCTTGAGTCCTTGTGTTTGGTATCGGTCACCGCCCAGGCAAGGGTGCCGTCAAACCCTTGCAAGGGTGCCGTCAAACCCTTGCAAGGGTGCCGTCAAACCCAGTCAAGATGCATCTAGGGTATCAGCCCTTGCAAAAGGAACCGGTCTAGGCGATAATCTTGTCCCAAGCATCATCGTATGCTTCAATTGGCACAGTAGTTGTGCTCATGATATTGAACATGCAAGAGTCCACGTAATGCATGATTCATATATCACCTGCATCCGACAATTCGAGATCATGTCAGTCACAGGCTATAATGTAGGCTTTGGGCCCGCGTGTTAAATGGTACTAGCCTGCTGGACGCTGACGTAACCTTCGATTCGCTTGGGGATAGATCATGCGCATAACCGGGCGTTATGTCAGTTCATCGTGCAACTTCGATCGAGTGACGGAGCCATGGGTCCCCGCTTGACATGATAAGCTGCATGAACAAACCTCTCGCACAATGTGACGACAGTGATCGAAGGCCGGACGCGATCATTTACGGAAGCTAAAAGCCGTGATACAGATCTAGGCAGTGCAAGATAGTCAATCTTCATCAAGCGTGCGCCGCTTCTCAGCTAGCTAGCCTCAAAACAAACCGCAAACCCATGCACCATGCCAGATGTCGCTGTCTCAAGACTGAAAGCGCGACCGTTTGATCTGGTAAGCTCCGAGCTTCGTTCGGCTGTTGCATTGAACGGATTGAGCTGTCAGCGGCAAATGATTGAAGCTTAAAACTTGTTGAGTTTGTACATCAGGCTTATGGTGGAAACTTCGCCGCGTTTAGCTGAAGCAGTGAGAGCTTAAGCATCGTGCACCTATAGCATTGTGTGCGTTGAGGTGAGCTCATGCGCTGCCAGCCGTCTGGCACTTAATTGAAGCCTGCACATACGGGAATTATATATGTGAATACCTGGAGACTCGCCCGGGCAGCGCGCGTTATAGATGCTCTTACCAACTCAGCACATGGCTTCGCAAGCCTGTGTTAAGACACACATGCTCATTATACCCATTCCAACAAGGATCGCCATTGTTACGGAGAAAGGATAACAGCGGGGCATGCGGTACATGTCTATTGTACCGGTTATAAACGATGGGTTCTAGGGTGTACTCAAGTTATATACAGCAACGAGGACCAAGGCTGTTGTTAAAAAAAAAACGAAGCAGTCTCACAAGGACGATTGCTACCCGATCGTAACGTGCGTGTAAATGCTGGACAGGAGCACTGCAGATTAAAGCTCCAGATCCTACTCGACCTGCCTAAAGATCTTTTCGCGCTCTTCGCCCCACTTTGGCACGGTTACGAGCATGGCCGCCGCGCAGTAGTAGTAGTTGATGCTCGGCTCATTTCCCTCCGCCACCCCAAACTTGCCCACATCCCAGAATTTGGAATGGCCGATGCACCACTCGATATCTTTCTGACGCTCCTCGGTCATCGAGGTGAACGTATACCTGAACTCATGGGCGTGGGCCATGTTGGTCCGATGTGTGTAATCCAATCCAGACAGCGGGGCCAAGACGTCGATCAGCCCGTTTCCGTAGCCTGTGACGCGACCCTTCGTAAAGCGCCTCTGCGTGACCGCCCCTTTTGTCTTCCTAACGACCTTGAACCCGTCCGCTTTCAGCTCTTCATCTTGCGAAACGACGTCCGCTCCCGTTCCGGTCTGCGACGTCGCCGGAATCCTGCGAGGCGCCACCTCTTCGCCGTCCGAATCGGCGTCCGTTTCCGGTTCCTCCTCACCTTCCGTGTCGCCCTCCAGCTTGTACAAGTGTACGAATCGGACGTGGAGTCCGAGCGTTTTCGCATCCGCGAAGAGAACGGCGTCCGCGCCTTTCAGCAGCGGCGCGGGGCGCTCGGCGAAGGCGTGGCTCGTGTGGGGGTAGCGGTGCTGAAAGAAAGGAAAGCCTTAAAAAGCCGTTGATCTGGGGATAGTGAAATAGTAAGTGCCAACTAGGGGCGGGTGTGGTTAGTCTGATGATTAAGGGTAAGTACGCATCGTAGTATGGAGGTGGAATGGAGGGTTCCAATTTCAATTCTAAAATGTAAAGGTTCCGACGTACATAATCCAATTTTTCTTGCAATCCTGTATGTTGCTTCACATCTGAATTGAGTCAACAAGGCCGTCACGGTGCTAGCAAACTGTTCTTGGGTCTCTCCTAAAGTCGTAAAGAAGGCTACTGCAACGCGCAAGTCACCTGTTCACGAGTCAAAGAATCAGAACCTTCAAGGGTCAGATTTGAGGGTACAGCACTGACGTGCTTGCACTTTTTACTTTCGCTGTCAAAGTGGCTGTACGACATCGAGGCGCGACAGCGTTCCGGTCCCTTGACTAGGACACGATCGAAGGATAGAGCGAACGCCCCTTTTGGACCTTACCCCTACCCTAAAACCATCAGAATCCGACAAACTCTAAAGCCATAAACCTGCACGGAGAAGGGAGGAGGCCTGCCTCAAAATGATAGCAACTCTTGTCAAACACAGATTTCAGAGAAGAAAGAAAGTTGGACAGGGGGCCAGACCTAACCAGAGATCCAAACAGCTCGTTAAGCGGGAAGGGTTGGCACTTACCTGGCACATAAAGCCCAGCCTGCCGCCGTCATACATGAAGCTCTGCTGACTGAGAGAATTCAGGAGCGTCTGGTAAAGGCGCACGTGGCGCATGTCCGACGATGGTCCGAACGGCCTCTCTGGCGCGGGGCGGGCGTCCGCGTAGAGATTGTACGTCAGCGTGACGCGGTAGTGGCGGGTCACCTCCTTCACCTGCAATCGTGCACAGAGTTTGATGTCAAGCCCACAGAATCCCTTTTGTTGACCAGGAATCCTTCCTCCCTAAACTCAAGTCTGGTGCTTCAGAGCAAAGGTAATCACGTCTTCTTGATGAAGGAGAACAACTTTCGTCTAGATATGCAACCAAACAAGTGTTCTTGGGAAAAGGGCGTTGGAGCAGCATTTCGATTCAATAGCATATTGTGACGAGGACGAGACTCTGATTCTTGCATCTGGAAGATCCTAATCTCCTGGCGTCTGAACGGTTCGTAGGTTTGGTTCTAGGGAACAAATCACCTCGTGTTCACAGTCGGAGTAGAGCGCGACCCATTGGATCGCGCTCCCTGATTTGCTGCTCCAGTCAATGACTGACGTCACGCTGCCGCGGCGGATGTGGAGCTCCCCGCCTTCGTGCTCAAACGGCAGGCACACCACCAGCGAGCCGAACATGTCCTCGCGGCGCGGTGTGTCCACGTGGCTCTTGAAAAAGTCGCCAGTTCTGTGAGCAAATAGAGATTTAGGTATACGAAAATTTTTGCCAGGATAGGCTGCTCACTCTTTAATTAAAACTGCAGCAAATGCGAAGCCCTTTTTGACGCAGCTAGATTGCATCCGTATGAGGAACTTGCTGAGTTAAGGGGAGTGCATAGTGCCTCAGTCACATCCGTCCTCAATGAGGACTTGGCTGGATCCAATGGATTGAACAATGCCTCCTGGATCAAGGTTGCGCATTTGCTCCGGTTGCCAGCCTTTGAAGAAACATGTTGATAACTCTCTAATCCGTCAGTTCCAAACAGATCTTTGAATCATGCATAAAGAGAACGATATCCGAAATATCAATCACAGCAGGTGGAGCAGCTTCCTTGCCTGTAGACGTTCAGTTTGTGGAGCTCCGCCCTGATGCCAAGCGCGTCCGGAGCCATCACCCGTTGGATTTCGGACAGGATGCTGTATTCGGACAGGTTGAAAGTGCAGCAGTAATCTTCACCCAGCTTGAGAGCTTTCCTGCAACATTAGGTCAGATTATCGATTTGAGAAACGCTTTCGTTCAGATTAAGGGGACTTTGAGTTGAGTGCCTCGGCTTTGGTTATGTGGACCTATAGCGAAACTCGAATATTGACTGAGTGGTTCGCAATGCACTAAGCCTTGTTGTTTCCAGAATCAGCAGAATTTAGGGGAAGCAATGCAAGTTGTGCTCTTCGTAACTCGTGGACAAACGGAGTGGTAAAACGAGTTTGCTGAGAATCTTGGTTTTAGAGGAGAATCAAAGGCAGGTCGTGATAAAGCAAGAGATTTACCATTCAAAGACTTAACGGCTCTTGCAAACTTCCTTCGGCAAAGAACACCTTCAAGTTACCTGTATGAAGGATCCAGAACATCCTCCTTCATTCTTCCAAAGGTTGCCTCCTCACAGGCGCTCATGAGGTCTTGGAATTCGTCCTCCTTCCCTCCTTTAAGGGGAACGTCCAGCATCTTGGGTTGACCCATACCATTCTTGGACTGCGCAGAAAAGAGAGAAGCAACTGCGTTGGAACTGCTTTTGTTTTGTTTCGAATGATTTTAGGTAGTTCAAAACTGTTCGAGCTGGTTGTTGTGAGTACATCCATATGAGGAAACGGTGTTTTGACAAGTTCTTAAGTACCCTTGTACATGTTCTTCCAGGACCGTCTGACGACACACTCAATGGAAGCCTGTGTGCTGAGGCCTTAAGTTCGCCTTCGAATGAGATGACATCATTTCATTTCACAAGGGAACGAAAGTGACAACGGCCCTACCTGCACGTAGAATATCTTCAAACCACCAGACGGAATCTCCACAGCACCAGCATAGCAGAATGTCGCTGTCAGCTTTTCAGCGTCGCTGCCAATCTGATCCAGCAACGCGTCGCAGCACATGTCCAACAGCTTTGACGGGCCTTCGCCGCCACCTGCTTGCGGTTTAGTTTTGACAGGGTCCGGCGCCATGTTCAATCTTCACTTTCTTGACAGTGACTTGAAGCTGATTTGCTTCCGTGGCTGCAGATGCAACTAATATATAATGCATCTACTGAAGAGTGTGAGAACAGAGCATCATAATCTTGAGTTGGTAGCTTCATAGAATGAAGCCACCGGCGCTCCCGTCAATCGATATATAGGATTTGATGATCAGACTACCGATCGAGGCCGGCGGCGCGGGCGGCTTACCTGGCCCGCACCGTAATGCTTCAGGGTTTGGGTTTGGTCGAGTCTTCACGAAGTGACACCTGGCAACTTGGCGACACGCCACCAAAACCCGACACTTGGCAGCGTCTGATTGCTTGAAAGTGTCCGCCATGGCGCCTCACTTTCCCCTTGCCGGTGCAGGAGCATCTTCTTTCCTGGCGGCTGCAGCCGGGCCCCAGCAGGGCTGCAGCAACATCATCATTGGTTCCTGCACATCATTTCTTCCAGCCTTACATCAACATTGAAACCTTGACAGCCCCTGCATCTGTTTGTGAGCACGTCAGCCTAGCATTAGCGAGCGGCCATGCCACCAGCTGATTGCCTCTTGGCTCAAACAACTTCCAATCAAATAAGATTATGCTTTGGAGTTATTGACAGACTACCGCGATCAAATCAGGCATGCTCAAATGTCTGTTGCACACTTAGGAGGCCTCTGAAGTTGGTTGGTAGTTGCAAGCTTCGCTCTGGTGCATTTGACCTGCATAAAACGGGCCAACTTCGGTTGCACAGCAGGACGTTTGGACAAAAGCAGCAGGTGAAGGGGACAAGGAGCATTGTGGGACAGAAAAGTAACATGGGAGCCTCAGAGGCTGCGGAGGTAAGCTTGAATAAGGGGTTAATAAACCGTGCCGAAAGAGAGAGTTGCAATGTCCTGCAGACTCTACCTTCAATATCAGCTGTAATGTGGACACGTGCTCATATGTCGACGTCTCTAGTAGCGTAAACACTTTTTTTTAATATATGAATTTCGTCAATCTCTGTTACATGTGTAGCAGTACCAGCACTCCACCTGGTACGCTCAGATCGTGCACTTGAGAATTTCTCTCTCTTTGTTCGGAGGATTATGCATACTACTATGCAATTTTGAACAAAAAAGTTAGAATCTTCCAACTCATGGCAGTTGGGCAGTAAGGGCGCCTTCTTCTTTTCGATTCAGACTTGCATCCTTCTAGATCGTTGTTGGGTAATGTCCCGAAGTAACGTGGAGTTGATCGGTACGCAGCCTGATGCTGGCTGGCTTTCAGTGTGTTCTCAAGATTTTTGCATTACCACTCTCGTCAAACCTTTGCTTTTTAAAACCAATCAAAGTGCTCCTTACCGCAACGCCCTTGAAAGCATCCTTGATGAAACCTTCTGAAATGTTTTAACTGCTAGATGTTGTTGCGATAACTCTGGCACATCTGTGGAAAAGGAGGAGATATTGACCTTCGAATCTAAACCCACCTGCTCTTCCCATAGGGGTGGAAGCTGAAAGCCTAGAATCTGATCTCGAAAACAGCAGCTACGTCCCTCCTCTCACGTTGGCCTTATCTGGTTGGCAATCAGCCGACATCTCTTCTTTTGGACGTCATCTATCTGACTTGGAAGGATGCAAGGATGTTGAGTGGTAAACTCAATTTGATGATTGGGCAGGCTATATTCAAAAAGCTTAAAACCACATTCCTGTGCAGACGGATCGCAACATGGCCATCGGGGCTGGGGTGACGCCCCTCTTCCCTGGGTTCAACGACCTATACTACAGTGACACCGCGACATGCGAGTCGAGGTTTCGGAATGGATACTTCGACGAGTCGGACAAAGACCCGTTGGCGTTTATGACGCTGCGAAACCAGGTTCAGTTGAGCACGTATGGGAACAGCATTGGGAAGAACATGAAGGATCTGTATCGGTTTGTCAGCGACCACTTGAGAGGTGAGTTTGCAAAATTGACTAAGCTGTCCAACTGGAACAAATCCCTTGATTCTGCTCTGGCCCTTCACTTCAAAGCTTGGCTTGCATTGGTTGAGCTGAAAGTACGCTACTTTAGTGATGTAGATAGTGCTGGGAGCTAGACGGAAAAGGCAAGTAGTCATGCAAGTAGAACATGCTGCCACCGGTAGGGCTCATCTTGTTCTGAAATAGGAGATATAGTTGCTCTCCAGCCACCAGTTCCTATAGCCAATGAAAGCACTTGAGATTGGAGTTCTATTAGGGATGAATAGCTGCATTAGACTGAACATTTTGATGGGAGGGTAAAGACTCAGGAGAAGTATGTGCAAGCAAGACTTCGAGCTGACTCTTCTGCCTTGCAGGCGCCATTGGCAGTGTCCACTTGCTGCCGATCTACCCCTCCTCTGGGGATGGCGGTTTTGCACCGATAGCTTATACGAGCGTCGACCCGGAGATGGGCTCATGGGATGACGTCAAAACGATTTCGGACCGCTACGATCTGTGCGTGGAATTCATGGTCAACCACATATCGCCGGAATCGGACCAGTTTAAGGACTTTATCCAGAAAGGGGATGACTCGGAGTTTGCGGAGATGTTCATTGACTGGGACAAGTTCTGGCCCGAAGGTGAACTACATTGGCCATTCTTTCAATTCCTGAATGATCCGGACTCTTTCTGTACCACGTAGTTGAGAATGCAGGTGTAGCAATCTTCTTAGGCAAGCTTCCTGTTGAGCGCAAGGGAGTCACTCGTGGAGACTATACTTGTGGTATTGAACCAAATAAAGGAGGCGTACTTGATTGATCTTGAAAAGCTGAAGGTGAAGTCTCTCCCGAGTCCGTTTGCTTCGATCGAATTGGAGGGAGGGCTTAAATATCTGTCGAGGCAGACTCATCAAGACGTTTTTCAGCCTGAACCTTACGGGCTGACTCAAGTTCGGTCAAACTTCGTGTGCCTGATCAAGGTGTGACAGCAAAGAGTGCAGATCCGATGATGAAGCTAGAGCTTTTGGTTCCTTTTCAGGACGTCCGACCAAGGAGGACCTAGCGCGAATCCGGACGCGCAAGGGAGAGGCGCCCGTCTTGGAGGTAGAGATGGCGGACGGGAGCAAGCGGCGGGTCTGGTGCACCTTTGGCCCGCAGCAGATAGACATCAACCCAATGACTCCCGCGGGTAAGAAAAGTTTCTCTCGTCGTCATGGGGAGGATTGGAAGGGGCGGTCGTGGCTGTTCGTTTGGTGAGAACTTCTCTCACTTACAATTTGCTCGAGAAGCCTGGCGCTCGCAAGTCGCTAACGGAAAGAGTATTTTGGATGAGTTCAGTTGGGTGTGCCTCAGTCGGGGGACGGAAGCAAGCGCGAGCTGATGCTCGTTTTGGGCTTGCTTCATCCCCTGATCTCTAACCGAAAGACAGAAGATTGAACACTCCCGTTCCGTCGGGTTTTCAACGTCGAGGGAACTGATACCAAGCTCTGCTATTGGGAAACGGAGGGCAAAGGAGCCTGCCTGATTCTGACGAACGTTACCTACTGCTGACGTGCGGGTACGCTTTTTGTATCGTGCAGGTTGGAAGTTCGTGCACACGTCCATCTGCAGCCTTTACAACAAGGGGGCACGTGTCATCCGCCTGGACGCCTTTGGGTACTTCACCAAAAAGCTGGGAACGCGCTGCTTCTTCGAGGTGAGGAGGCTCCTTTTGGCAAAGTACCCCGCCTATGGTGGTAAATTGTAACTGCGGCTCGGGGTAGAGATCCGCTGTCAGGCGTTCTGCTTTCTCTCAGAATGACCTTATCCGGTAGTCTGGGCGCTTCGACGAAGTTTATACAGAGAGCGATTGATAAGAGGCCTGCGCTGGGCGGGGGGGAGGGAGGCCAAGCCACCGACCGACATTTTCACGAGCCCGCCCGCATAGAAGACAATGAGTCATGCTGGACTGCGGTTTTCCCGGAGCGGCCGTTTAAAGTTCAAAGGCGACATATGCTTGTGGTGTTCCACTGCTTGGATCGCTTTGAATGGTTATTGTTCGGACCTTCTGATTGTTACTTCAAGGAATGGCGCTTGCGGCTGGTCATGATTGTCTTTTCGACCGTATGGACCGACAAGTGGCGATAATTTCAATGGTCACTTTCACCTATGGTGCCACACGTCATCGGTGTCAGATAGACTGTACGGTTCGCCTGACCGCGGATGCTGCGCGTGCAGGAGCCGGAGAGCTGGGAGCTGTTGGAGAACATCGAGAAGCTTGTAGAGGAACGGGGCATCAGGTACGCAAAATCTTCGCCAGTCTGAAGATTTCAGGTTTGGTTGAGCAGCGGACCCCTGTCCTTTGCAGGGTTGAATGCCATGACAGAACCGCGCCTGTCAAACCAGACTCCTGGTGCTGAGTACCTGGTCCAGACAGAGCAAATCCTTGTAGATTCCATCAAACTCGAACGGTTGTGGTTGCGCAGCGCTACCTAAAACATGACCCTGGCCAGCTAACACCCGGCAGCTTCTGAGTTCTCTTAAGTTCAACGGCCGCTTTGAGAAGCTGAGACTCCGGGCGCTCGATTGCAAGCTTCTGGAATCAAGAGATACGCCGCTCTGTGTCTCGGCTCTGCATTCCCAGCCGCTTGTGCAAACGATCACAAAATTAACTCGCTTTACGAGTTCTTCGATAGTTCGATCTTTATCTGACGATCGCACGGTCCAGATTGCTTTGCGAGGTGCACGAGGAGTACGAGACGAACCTGAAGATCGCGGAGCGCGGCTACTGGGTGTACGACTTCGCTCTCCCGCTCCTAGTTCTCCACGCCTTCCACTTCCGGACTGCCGAAAATCTGAGACATTGGCTCCACATCTGCCCGCGGCGGCAGATCACCGTTTTGGATACGCACGACGGGATGGGGATTGATGACATTTCGGGACTGGCTACGGTGAGCGGCATGCGTACTTTGCAGTCTGGATCTGGTCTCGTGTGCTCGCGCTTTCGTTTGGCTGGTTGGTCTTATTACCCGGACAGCCTGATAGTGCCGTCGAAACCTTTCATGGCTGTAGAGTGCGGATGATAATATGGGGGACAGGAAGCGCCGACATTCTTAAATCAAATGGAAGACCTCTGCTTCGTGGGACCTCGTAACGGTCTCTTCGTTTGTGCGTCTTTGCCTGGGTGTGCCAGTTCTTTCGCCGTCCCCCTTCTTTGTAAGAGCCTTTTGTCGTTTTTCACCCGCTTCCAGTGGATAGAGATTCTTTGGAAGATCTCGATGCCGTTGCGTCATTGACAAATTACTTGCCGTCAACTTTGCGAGCGGGGGCTCCTTCATGAATGCCGATCACGTAGTGCGCTTCGCTTCCAAAAACATCCCAATCCGTCGGCATCATTGCAGTCAGGCTGAAACATGCACATCTCAGAAAGGCACGACCAGTCAGCACCGAGAGAGACTAGTGAACCCCCTGAGGCCGTGCAAAAGCTTCTTTCTGTTTGCTGACCATCACTTCGCTTCGCAGGTGTGCGATACGGAGGAATTGAAAAAGATTGCGTCCGAGGCGCAGTCCAAAAACCTTGCGTCTATCACGCCGAAGTTCCTGTACGACCCGGAAAAGTCGGTCTACGTGTCCAACCCGCACCAAATCAACTGTACATACTACTCCGCGTGCGAGCAAGAGGACCATCTATACCTTTTGGCGCGCGCCATACAATTCTTTTGCCCGGGGATCCCGCTAGTGTACTACGTCGGGATGCTGGCCGGCAGTAACGACCTGTGCCTGGCGAAGAGAACCGGCAGCGGACGGGAGATAAACCGGCACCGGTACTCGTACGAGCAGGCGGTCGAAGAAGTGCAAAGACCGGTCGTGCAGACTCTGCTAGAAATGTGCCGGTTCCGGAATCAGCACCCCGCGTTTCGCGGGCGGATGCACGTGGAAGATGACGTGCCGGGCCACGTGCTGGTGGTGACGTGGCAGAACGGGGAGGCGCGCGCGACGCTGACCGTCGATTTCCAGACCAAGGCGTACAACATAGCGCATACTGGGCACGATCATAAGGAGGGGGACGAGTTGCGGGTTGTGCGGTTTGAGAGGGGTGGGGAGGGGTCTCACGAGGACAGCATTCTGGGTTTGGATACGACCGTGCGAATGGCGCCAGAGCGGGGGGAGATGGTTGTCTCGGCCTGAAGGAAGCATAAAGTATTGCAGGCGCGCGCCGCAACCGTCAGGTCGATTGGCCTTATTGTATTTATCTATTCTCGAATCGCAAGTATTGAATACTTTCAGTTAAAGCAGAGGAAGCATGAGTTGGGCAGTTGTGCCTGTGTATGAACAGTTGGTGGTCGATAAAAGCTAACGGCGCTTCTGCGAATTCTTGGTCAAAAAGGAGAGTATAAAGCATGCAGATTTGGACAGCGTGAACGATTCATCAATGTATTATCAATTGACGTACATTGTTCCTTAGCCGGTTGTAACACACACCATCGACAATTGATCCTAAGTAGCATGAAGCTGGGAATGAGTTCATCGACGAGAATATTGGGACGCTAATTGAATTGTATAAGGGCATAAACATCACCTCTAGACTTCTCTTTTCCTGCGGCCATGTGAAAACAGAAATTTTCACGTCTGCCGTACGACTTCAGAAGCCCCTCCCTCTTCAAGGTGGGGCAAGGGGCACCGCCTACATAAAATGGCACACCGTCTACATGAAATGAGGGGGGATACGAAAATCGGACGAAAATCTGCAAGCGGCAAATGGTACACTGCTAAGCAATTTATCACATTGAAGTTCAACAAACTCAGCTTATGAGAGCTTGCCTCTGCGCCAACCTACTGTAAACCCCCAGACCGAAGAAGCCATGTTCAGACACAACAACCCCGACCCTGGGAACCTCTGCTTCTTCAGCTTGAGACGATTAAGACTTTTCAGCTTGACCAGGTGTGGCGCCAGAAACGCTGCGCCCTCATTCGAAAAGCTGTTACTTGCCAAATCTAATGAAGTTAGCTCTGTAAGCTTGCCTAATTCTGGCGCCAAGGCCGCTGCTCCCCCATCCTTGAAGGCGTTCCACCCCAGGTCAAGGTAGGTGAGCTTCGTGAGCTTGCCTAACTCAGGCGCCAAGACCACCGCGCCAGCATCATTGATGTAATTCACCCCCAGGTCAAGGTACCTTAGCTCTGTGAGTTTGCCTAACACTGGCGCCCAATGCGCCGTGGATTCTTTCTCCTCGTCCTCGGATTTTTCCTCCTCGTCCTCTCTCGGTTCTCTCCAGGTGTTTTTGCGCAGGATGAGTGAGGTGAGCCCAGTGAGCTTGCCCAACTCAGGGGCCAATGCCTCTACACCCTCATCGTCAAACCAGTTACGTCCTAGATTGAGATACGTGAGCTTCGTAAGCTTGCCCAACATAGGCACTAAATCCACGGCTTCTCCAAAGTCATTCTCCCATAGATTCAGTGAGGTAAGCCCACCGAGTTATCCCACCTCAATCAGCTCTTGCATTTCATGGTCAATTAGATTGCCCAGAGCGTTTTCGCTCAGAATCAGACTTGTAAGCCCCTCATTCTTGCCTAATCCACGGGCCATGTGCGCTGCCCCTACAGCGGAAAGACGTGTGTCCCGCAGATCCAATGAGGTGAGCCCAACCAGATTCCCTAACTCAACCAGATTTTCTTCCCTCTCGTTGAGTATGTTTTCGCTAAGAATCAGAGTAGTCAGCCCCGTATTCTTGCCCAACCCGCGCGCCATGTACACTGCCCCTAAAGTGGAGATTTTTGTGTTGCTGAGATTCAACATAGTAAGCCCAGTGACCTTGCCTAGCCCGGACGCCACGGCGTCAGCGCCCTCGTCCTTGAGACTAGTCCCATGTAAATCCAGGACTGTGAGCTTAGCGAACTGCCCCAGCTCAGGCGCCAAAAGCTGCCAGAAACCCTTGTGGTCGCTGCTGGGATACTCAGGGTCATAGCACCTTAATGGTGAAGACGACCTCGGTCGAACAAGAAGACCCCCCAAGCTAAGAGACCTTAGACCTTGCATATTGTGCAGCAGAAACAAAATCTTCTGAACCTTACAGCTATCACTTGGGGTACACTCATCAGGATCCGCCACCAGACGAAAGTGCGAGCTGGTAGATTCAATTTCACTTAAAGCCTCCTGATCGGCAGCATGAGTGAACAGCGTCCAGCTCTTGCTATTGACACTCTTGTAGATATTCCTGAGCTTCTTGCTCGTGGATGCGAATGCGACCTCATCCCCACCGCCATCTTTTGCTACTTCCCCCATAATTCTTCCGAGCACGTCGTCTGGCAGACTTTCAATCTGCACAACACAGTCCGTAGATCCAATCAGATAACTTACCCGAACAAGAAGGAGAATGGTACTGAGCCCTTCTGAACAACAGCCGGCAACCTAGGGATCGGAATATCCACAAGCAAGCACCACAAGCACCACACTGAGCACCACTTAGTGCTTACCTCACTCTCCTCGTCGACCCCACTCGACAGATGCCTTCCTTCCGTGGGCGCCATTTTGACTTGTACCTTCCCTCCTATGAATGTTCAATGACAAAGTATTCAGCCAAGCTGTAAACTAGCTTCGATCTGGGCGCGAGATTTTAAACTCAAGTGAATTCACTAAGAGTTTCCGAGCTTTTTCACTAGAAGGAAGCTTAGAAGGTGTTTAGGCCCCTCTTCCATCTAGCGGTCGGTCTTCGTAAATTCAAAAATGGAAGACCAGCTAGAAAGACCGGAGGAATGTGAAGCTGGCCAATAGGAATTTAGAGAATTGAATACCGACCGCTACTCAATGGAAGAGGTCTCCGGTCCTTCTTCCGGTCGGTCTTCGTGTTGAAAAGGGAAACACCAGTGGAGACTTGTACTCAATCATTGGGTTTCGAGCCCCCACGGTGCGCGCCCCCTTCTCATTGGCCGAGTTCACCGATCAATTCGGAAGACCGGTGGGATTATTTCAGTACCGGCGGAATCCAGCGGTAGTAAAATAAATACTTCTTGACCGCCGACGTGGCACGGAGTTTTCGGAAGACCGCTCAGTGTAAGACCGGTTTTCCGTATAAAAAGGGGTTTTGGCCAATGGGAATTTAGGAAAGGAAGACCGACCGCTAGATGGAAGAGGGGCCTTAGTAGCGCTTGAGCTGAAAAAAGTCTTGAGAAGTTGCTGCCTCAGTCTGAGATAAGGAAAGACGCGGTGGAAAGATCCACCTTTATAGTGTTGAGCTAAGAAGTTCATTTTAGGGATGCAACTATGCAAGGAAGCAACGCAGACTCAGAAGCAAGTACCGTAGGTATAGGTAACGCTCAAACCAAGCAAGGTGACCGTTATCTGAGCTGAATCAACGCCCTAGATCTCATAGGTAAAGCCCTACAAGGGTATCGACGGTAGAATTGGTGGAATATGCAATCCGACTAAGGCAGTCACGTGCTACAAAATTGCTGTGTGCTCATCGACCGTCCGTCTTACGGATTATAACCGGCAGTACCGGCCGATAAAACTTCAATTCATCCAATCTTCACCGTCGATGACTGAGCGCGAAGCCCTAAAAAAGTGGTCAGGTCACACATATTAAAATCATATGTGCCCATTGAAGAGGTTTGCCTAAATTGACGGCCAAAGATGAGACAGTTTTGGGAGGCAATTCTATGGTGACTCGGAGGCAGTTTCAGGAGGCACTTTCGCGAGGCAGTCTCACCGACTTCTTGTGGGCCTCCGACAGGGTCAAGTTTGTGCCCTTAGGAACTGCCTCCTAAAACTGAACTGCCTCTTGAAACTGCCCGGCCCTCCGGCCCATCAGATCATTGTGAGAGGACTGATCGGCGGGTATTCATCGGTCAGATCGGTATCGTGAATCCGATCTTCAGAAGTGGTCGACCGTAGCCTGCTAGGTCGTATACGGATCATAAATCTAGCACTCTTTGAGTTTGTTGTCATGGAATTCTGTCTGTCTTTCTTCTCTTGTACCTTGTATCTTTCATGATTCGTTTCTTATATTGTACGGCATGAGATTATGGTGCATTCAGTGCGCACAAAAGATGCTCTTTCTCCCGATCCAAATGCCTTCACCACATGGCCGGACGGTCATTGTAGCGCACAACTTGGTCAACGTTTGAGCCTTGATTGAAGTTCCGGCGGACGACCCGCTAACTCACCTGAAGCCAATCAGAGCAGCGAAGCCCTTTGACATCCATTGACCAAATGCAGTCAAGCCGACGGTTAAGGGCGGCTTGAGGCTTCTCTCTGGCTAGCTAGCCGGGCTATACAGTCAAGAAAGTTGAATTGCACTCCCTTGAAAAGCCGGGACACTGTCTAAGAATCTAACATATTACTAGTATTACCGTGTCGAGAAAGGTACGTTAACTGCATATTGTAGCCGGGTTGTAGCCGGCCTGGAAGGCAGGCTGGCCCGGGGCTGTCTTTATCACTCCCAAGCATGACCGGAGTATGCTGGCCGACCTCGTATGCATAATCAGGCCCCATTGGCAAGAAAATGGCCAGTTTTGTCTTTTTGTTGCAATAGGTAGATAACCTGAACACACCCTGCCTCTTGTACCTGCCTCAGTACGTCCAAATTTGATGGTCAGTGCAGTATCAGTTGTCAGACCTCCAAAGATGATTCAGCCGTTATGAGAACAGGTTCTACTAACTTGTCAGATATCATTTCAATCTGAATATAGGTTAAAAGAAGGTTAAAAGGGAATGCAATAATACCGAAGCAGTATCTTCGAAGCAGTACACTCAGTGGATCAGTACTCTCTGCCCGCGGCCGGCCCGGCGTGGTTGAATTGGTACGTGCGCTAGCTGCGGCTGAGCGCGACAAGTACGGGCGGCGGCCGGCTGGGAATACCCGGGCGGCCGCGATGGGTTTATGGAGGGGTTTAGATCTGGGGGAAGGTTCCGTTGCGCTGATCGTGCTGTGCTGACGCGGCACGGAACTGAACCGTTCATTCCGCGGGTGTGCGGAAGAGGAAGGTGGTCAGATGAGAACTGACAGTGAAGCGGAACAGCATCGGAGTGGGGGCGCAATGGCGGTCTGCTAGAGCAGGTCAGGGGGACAGGGGGCTTCAGAAGGGGCTTTGAAAGCTGCTTGTTCGCATACAACCAACCTTCCAGATCTGCATTCAAAGTTGTCAGGCTTGCGGCAACTTTGACAGCTTGAAATCAGCTGCAATTATTGAGATCTTGGGTCTTCTTGGGTACATTTTTTAGGGCGCAAAGCGCCTGATTTGAGCATAGGCAGTGGGTTCCTGGTACAGTGGTAAATAAAATCTGTCTTTGGCCTGATTCAAGGTCATTTCCCTTGCAGTTCTTGCTAAGAGCCCTTCTAAAGAAACTTTGTTGGCGTACTCTCAAGATGTCTAGCTGACGAGCAGCCATCTTTGGGCCGCTTGTGGGGAATCATGCCCCCTGGAAGAAGACAAAAGTACTCTCCCAGCCCCCCACGCTGGCTTCATCAAGCCCCCCAGTAGACCCGGCGACTTTTAACCCACTCGCCGAGATTGGTTTCAGCATGGGTGAGCCAGATCCCGTCAAGTTGGAGCCGCACCTGGTTGCGCAGCCTGTGGCAGACTCAGAGCCGCAGGAGCAGTTGCACCAGGCCACAGGGGATGATTCACACCAGGCCATTGCGGACGGTTCACACCAGGACATGGCGGACGATTCACACCATACCATGGCGGACGAATCACTTCCGGCCATGGGGGACGATTCACACCAGGCCATGGGGGAAGGCTCACACCAGGCCATAGGGGCCAATTCACACCTGGCCGTAGAGCCGCAGGAGAAAGCGGAGCCAGAGACAGAGCTGCAAGAGAAAGAGCTTATGTTGCTGGAGCCCCAGGAGAAGCTGTATGCATCGCCGGACTCGCAGGGGCAAGAGAAGGCTTACTCAGACTCGCACGAGAAGGCGTACAACGAGCAGAACTGGCAGATTGTGGCTCTGGGGAGCGTGTGCCAGCTAGAGGGGTGCAAGTATGCGGGGGAGAACGGTGCCTCACGGCGAATGCACCGGCACTGCCTGCAACTCACGCCAACGGGGGCGAGGTGTACGTACAATACGGAGAGGACGTCGAACTTGCCGGGGCATGACCGGGTGCATTTGAAGGGGGAGTTGGAGAAAGAGGGTAAGTTACTGTTAAGGTTCCTCGTGTTTCGAGAAACTTGGTAGCAGAGGTGACGCAGTGCGAGGTTTGATGCCTCGGGGGGTGAATGCTTCAGCACTAACGGGAAGGGAGCTTAATGAAGTGGGTGCTACCAACATTGGTACTTACCACGTCTTTCTTTCCATCTAGGAGGCCATGCTTCTTGAAGATTCTGCGCAGATCACTGATCTATTGCGGAGAAGGAGTTGCAGGTTTAGATAGGTGTCCTGTCGAAGGAGAGTCACACTTTTAGCATACCCTCTGCAGTAGTTTTTACTTGTTGCCCCAGTAGGAATGTGCCCCCAACTCGTCATGCGTTGCGATTCATCAGCTCTTTACCCGGACAAATGCTTCATGAGCCAATTTTGTTGTGGCTGCAGAAAAGCATGGTTGGAACAAGTGTAGCTCTTTGAGACTCTATGACGTTTTAAGGTTTCAAAGGCTTTTCTCATCGTTTCTGGTTGCCTGTCCATCTCGTACAAGTCACTTCTCATGCTGATTTGCACCCGTTCTGACCCGTTTTGAGTCTGTTCGGCACATTCAATTCGTCCTTGGGTGAGCCTAAATGAACTAGGGCCTTACAAAGATGCTCTTTTCGTATTAAAGATCTGGTCGTTGTGAGCACCTCCTGGGTCTCTGGAGCACTCTTGAAAATGATATGCAGACGGTTGACATTTGAAATTTCCCCTCCTTATGCAGAAGCAGGGCATGGTGCGCATAGTGGCGACAGCGGCAAGCCGAAGAAGAGCCTCAAGAGGAAGGCGGAAAAGACCCTGACTGAGGGCCAACAGACTGCGTTTGCGGATGTTGGGGCGTCAATCGAGCAAATGGCCGATCTTCAGAGAAAGGGAATTCAATTCGTGGAAGATTGCCGGTTGTATCGACCAAAGGAGATCAAGGACTGCTTGCTCGGAAGCCCTCGGGAGGAAAAGCGCGAGACAGAGGCACGACAACTACTCGTCAAAATAGATTCCTTTCTAAGAAAGTCGGGGTGCTCAATTGGGGACTTGGATCTGGGCTTCGGTGAAAGCTGAGCGTGTGTTTGCGGTTTGAGTCCTGTGGCTTGGCTTGTGCGCTTGCTATTTGTATATACCATAGGAATTTATCGGCACCCTGATGCAATAAACGCTGCATTAGACCAACTGGAATAGATCACTCAACGAGCAGAAACGAGGTGATTCAACGTATGCACACAGAAGCGCAGCCTTACAGATGGTCGTAAGTAGATAGTTACTGCTTCTCGCGTCCCATGATGTTGGCAACATTTTGTCACCCACGACATCTCAGTGTCCCCGTTTCTTGGCTGTTACTAAGTCAGCATATACACCCTCTCACCATCACATATGACCGAACGTCCTCGGATGCATGCCGGCCGGCCCGATCCTAGTGCACTTCGATCGTTTTCCATGCGCCTTGCCTTTAGCATGTTCGACTTTCCGCATGACTCGGTTTCTCATGGGTCAATTGAATTGTATAGACGTATGACAATTGCATTGCAGCCAGGCATGTATGTGTGCGCACTGCTGCGGCATATGATAATTGGCACACATGCGACCGTTCGGACCATGCGACCATTCGGACATTACTCGGCTGCGTATAGCTTGGCCGCGGGCCAGCAATTTATGCGCAACTATATACTAATTCACATGCATAACATATCCAGAGCTAGTGCAATTGGTCCGGGCCGCCCCGCACGCGCGCTCTGTATGTTGCATGACAAATACATTCAGCCAATTGCTAGTCGATCTCAGCGCCTGCATAACATGGCACCCAAGGCCAGCCTGTCTGCAGCTCTCAGTGATACTTTCTTCTTTGAATATCGGTCGCATGCTGTCTGGCTACTGTAAGATACTGTAAGACTTGCAAGACGTGCTCCGCTCATGAACACGTCCACCATGCGATCGAGCGGCCGCTTTGAAGTTTACTGGCAACCGTGCCAGCCCCAACCCCAAAATCTTGCTTCGATTAAAAATGCATTGGATGGCAGCTTGAAGGCGTGAGTGATATAATACTGCAGATATTAATACACTGGGTCTGCGCCAAGGTGCACAACTCCCTGTTTCGACACGGCCTGGCTGGCGTCCCCCGTGTTCCACGGCCGCTATGCCCCACGTGGCAAATCTGGAACGTTGGGAAGCTGATTCTACTTCGACAGCTTCTCCGGAGTCTCAACAGAGTATTGCTCCCGCTGCTTCTAGCTATGTTCTGGGGTGCGTCGTCTCGTATCTATTCGATTGGCGTGCTTAACACACGGCCGCATAGATGGACACCACTTGTGTGTGAGGAATGACGGGCATACGTGTAGAACTCCTCAAAAGCTGGCGCCGTCCTGCACGCGCGCGAGAGACACAAATATCACTCCTTTGACTGATCGTTACCTCGGTGTGTACAGGGGCGCCATTTCAACCCCAGCTCCAAATTAAAGCGGACTTCCGGAACAATTCGTGCAGACATTCCAAGTGACGCCCCTATGGAATGAGACACGCTTCGTCACTATCTCTCTTCGGCTGCCTTCTGGCCTCCCGCATGACTTCTTTCCGCTCTTTTATTAAGTGGTAGCTGCAACAACTCCCCCAGTCCCTGGCCGCATGCACCTTTCCTGGCTCTTCTCTCGATTCCTACGATTTTGAAAAGTTCCTGAAAAGTTGTGTCCAGGCCAACTTTTGCCGAATACTCAAAGCGTTGAAGAAGAGTGCTTTCCATTCATTGTCACCTCCAGGGAAACCAGATACGCAGGACTTGATACAAGGCCTTCGCTTCACCGTCATTGAGTTTCGTTCGTAAAGCAACTCATGCGGCGCACTTGAGGAGGCCAAATAGAGCCTTCCAACATTTTACTATCTGCTGACTCTTTGTGAAGGTGTACCTCTTGCAGTCGAAAGCAAGGACGTCGGAAAAGTCAGCAAGCTTTCAGTAAGATTCCTTCAGCCACGCTTCATGATGGACACACCTTCACCTAGTGAGCTGTCAACTTTGGGTCCTGTTCACATCAAGGGAACTGAACAGAATGGTTACACGCTCCCGTACTGAGTCAGCTCGTTTTCACCAATGAACAGTGGCATGCGCCAGATCCGTCCGTTCTTCATGGCCGACTTTTCCGATTGAACTGGGCACCTTCCGTCGGTATCCGATCCAGAGCGGAGCGGAAATGGCAGACGGGCGGAATCGAGGTCTCGATCAGATGTTAATCTGCAAGAGAAACGGAAACGGCCTCATCCTGGGGCCTGATGCAATTCGGTTCTCAAAACATGTATGAGCGGATGTGTCTTCTTACAATATACCCAGGGCTCTTCCAACCGAAGCAGCATCCAGCTGATCCAAAGGAACTCCACGCCAAAGGCCGACGGACAAATTCACGGTTACCCTCTGTACGCGCGCTGACTACCAGACTTGCCGCTCGGGTTACTGGACAATTAACCGGGATTTAACCCTGTTTAGCGGCTGGTCAACGCCCAAGTCTGGTTACTGGACATATAACCAGTTTCTAACCAGCCCAAAACTGTCCTTGGTTAAGGGCCAAAACTTCCTGTATATACTGGCCGGCTTGGTTTGTGCAACTTTGATCGACCTGATTGCCAGACCAAGGAACATAGCCCTTCTTTAATATGCCGCCAATACTGGTCAGAAGCGCACGCGAACATCAACGGAAAGGAAAGATATAACAAATTCTTGCAGATCTCCAGAGCGTCCAGCACATCGAAATGCACTCAAAATCGTCCCCCACCGCCCTCGTTGGGACCCTGACGTAGTGATTAACAGCTCGTGGAGCGGCGGCCCTTCATGACAGTTGGACGGAAGAAAGATATGAATCGGATGGATCAAATTGATATAGGCCTCGAGGCCAATGAAAAGGACGGAACAGTCCTACGACACCTCTGCCGAAACTCCTCTCCTTGGATCAAGATCTTACCCAGCTATTTAAGAAGCACTTCGAGACTGATTCCGTCGAAATTCTGGCAATGGTTATTGGGCGACACACTTTCTTACGGCGTCTCTAGGTGTCCATCCGAAACATGTCGAAAAACAGCTCAAAAGGCGTGCAAGAATGAACAACCGTCGATTGAAAGAAATTCGGACGACTATCGCAGCAACCAACACTGCAGCTCCTGTCCGCATCTGGCTAATGGCAACCAATATTGGGCACTTCCAAACCAGCTGCACTTGGCGTCGATTGGCTTTAAAGGTACCGGAACTTCTCTCTAGCAGTTTGCACCAGACAGTTCTACGTCTTCACGGCCAGCATGAGTTGCAGCCAATGCGTGCAAAGCGCCAAGCCACTAGAAAAATTATAGTTGAAGCATCGCTGGGCGGAGCAGCTTTGATTCTGCCATCCGTTTCGTTCACTTCCCTGCCCTTAAAGACTTTACGTGCGTGATCGGGAATACCTGATTTTCCTGATGCATGTCTCTGACGCTTCGAAGGGGCCAGGCGCTCTAGATACCTAAGAAGGATTGCAAGGCCACCTAGATTGCAGAAGCGTCGGGTATGAGAGTTGTTTCTTTGGACACTGCCCACAAATTCAAACGTCGTTTTTTCAACGACCGCTTGAGAGTTCGAGTGTCCTTTAAACCCTCGCTGTTTGCTTCAGATTGAGCTTCCCGTCGGAACCCACAAATCAAAGGTTTCATGTGTAAGGTGGATCTGGTACATGGCAGGTAATTGTGACATGTCGCTTGGGAATGGCTCCTTGCTTAAGACGTATTGACTCTCTAGCGCCAGCTCTTTGGTGATTGTCGACGGTGAAAAAGATCATAGTCACGCGGGATAGGCGCTGATCATACGCCAGTAAAGGCTTTCGTGATTCTTAGCCGGCTCAATTGACATCAAGACGCTTGGCGGGGCCGCCAGGCGTTCCCTATCTTCCTCTCTTCATTGCCTTTGATGCCACTAGAAGCAAACTGGATAGATTGATATTTGATTCGTTTCTACGGTCAATGCAAGTGGATGATTTGAATTGAGAGCAGTAAAACTTCTTGGCTTCGCCTTTACAACGAAGCAGCCCTCCAACACCGTTTCTCCGGCTCAGCGAGCGACTGGATCTCAGTTCCTTTCTGACAGACATGTCATTATAAGCGCTCCTCCTCCTTGCCCCCCGCAGACGTCATTCAGATAAATAAGCACTGGAGTAAGTCTGGGAAATTTCTTGATGAATCATTACAGGCTTACACTATCACGCCTTCAGCCCAACCACGGCGGCTCAATCAGGGAAACGTGTCACACTAGTATGACTGCGCTAGCCACAAAGCGCCCACGAAAAAGTTGGTGAGCACTCGCTCAGAGAACTAAGGGCTTGGTTGGCAGAGCTAGAAGTGCCAACAAGTTTTCCTCATCCTTGCGGCTTCCATAAAAAGAACTGCGCTGATAAGCGGACCACAAACCACAAACGATTCCACAAGCCCAAGCCTCGAGGATTCCGTCGGCGACCTCCACAGGAATTGCTCGTGGAAAAGGAACAGATACCCGCGAGGAGCGTGATATGGGCTCCACAATTGGTTGACCCAACTACTGAAATCACCGTGCAGACATCGGTGTCGCTGGTATAATTCCCCAAAGCTGACTCACATGTTCCCCTAGCCTCGGTCAACTGGGCCTGACACCACGGACTTAAAGCAGTTTGCTTGTGAGTCGTAATCAAGATCTGCCCCGTAAAGGTGATTGTACAAGCAGCTGGCATTCATTTAGACCCTTGTTGACGTTACTTATGTTGACCGTTATTACCCAACGACAACCAGCAACAAACACGCGCTCAAGATAAGCTGCCGTTTGAGCTTTGCCGCAACACCGACTACCCACTTGTTCCCCTGAGACTGGAGCCTCCACGTTACCATCATCAGCCTCGAACGCATGCTGACTCTAATCAACTTCTGATAAGGACGGCCTCATGTTTGCGTCGGCTCAATTGCTGTGACGTACTGAGCTCCACCTTAGACCGAGAATTACTGCTCATACGATCGGCTCAGGTAAGCTAGAAGTCTCTCTCTGGCAACGCCGTGTCCATGCCAGAAAGGTCCTTCACAGCCATCTCTTTGTTCATTAGGCGCACGGATCAGGAATAAGAGATGCTTGAAGCTGATAGATGTTGCCTGTGCAGGTTCAGCGACTGTATCCCGTCACTCGACCCGGTGATCAACCACAGGAAGGTTTGGCTGCTAACCAGGTTCACTAACCAAACTTCAGTCTGGTTCGCTGACCAATAACCGCGTCACAGCCATGTTAGCAACCTGGTCACTACTCGAGGCTGGTCATTAGACAGTTGACCAGCTTCGAACCAGCCCTTAACCGACTATGGTTAACTGCCGAAAAACCCTGTGAACGTGCGACTCAGAGCC